TATTACTTGCACAGGAAAGGCTAAAATGTTATCGAAATGACATCTACAGGTTTGCCAAAAAAAATATAAAGTGTTAGTTGAGTTGAGAATTTGGGGAGACTGGCCTTGTTCGCGGGAGAAGCTCGTTTCAGTTCATTTAAACTGAATATTTGATGCCTAATTGAATAAGAATGACCAAACAATGATTAATCCTTAGCGAGATGTGATTAACTTTCCCTCCAGGGAAGGTGTGTTAACATACCCTCCATCCAATATAGGGAGAGGCTCGTATTTTGCATAGTGGCTGTATTTTGTGAATTGGTATTTTCAGAATTCAGATTCCAACACCCAAAGCAGCAGTGATGATGAAGGAGGCTCCTCGGATAATGGTGGGAACTCAGATTCTGATGGACCTCCTATTAAAAGAGCGCTAAGAGACAAAAATAATACTGGCCCACCAAGACATAGAAATAAGGTAACATTGAGGAAATTATTATAATGGAAATAATTATGATTTTTTATTTTGTTAAAGCAAGCATTTCTATTACTGCTAACTAAGCAAATATTTTCTTTGTGACCTACTCGTGGCCTCTTTTTAAGGACTTTTTCCTAGTGTCTCCTTTGGACAACAGGCTATCATTGAAAATCTATTGTGGCATTTATGCTGGAAAAAGTTGTCGAAAAATGTGTGTTGCTTCAAATTTCTATTCTGAATGTGCAGCTTTGGAAATTTACATCAAAATAGAACCATGCGCAAATCCAAAAAGATGATAAATCCAAATTCAATACTTAATAACCAACCTCTTTGTGTCCGCTTTACTTGTTCTTAGTTTATTTCAGCTTCTAAAATTGCCTCGTCCCGGTAATAGAGAGAAACTGTGTTATTTTCATTCTGATTGTGATTTTCTCCAATTTAGGCAGCTGAGTTGATGCAATTTTTGTGATGTTTAAATGCAAGTTGAAATAAACTTGTTTTTCAGGTTGGAATTCAAAATGATTCTTTTTGTGGAATCTGCTTGAAGGGCGTTGAGTCGAACAAGAAGGGCCTACCAGAGGAATTTGTGCATTGCTCTTTCTGCGAAAATAGTGGTATGTGTTTCTCTTCTTGGTTTCCAAATAAAGAGGGGTTGGGAAAACAAAAGTTTGAAAGACTGATTATATGATTTGTGTGAGCCATATGACTGCCTGATAATTTGGGTTTTCTCTTACGAGATAGACAATTTTTCTTTCAAAATTCACACTGTTAAGGCCAACTTTTTCTGTTTGATTCTAGGCCATTTCTGTTCCCAGGCAAGTTCCACTCATTGGGCTTTGGCTTCATCTTTCAACCAAATTAAGATTTAATATACGTTTGTTTAAACAATGATGCTGAAACGATAAATTCTACTGCAGTTGTAGCATACATTTAGACCAGATTTAGTCTATCCCTCTCCAAAACCTTTTACCCACTGGTGATTTTCGTCACCAGCGACTGCGATTTGTCACGATGGCTGCTATTGAATAGCCTCATTATCCTAATGAGCCTCGTTTGAAGTATGGCGGGAAATAGGTTTCTCTTGAGCGCTTTGTTTTTTTCAAAAATGGGCGCTGTTGATGAGTTATATCGATTGAAACTGAAGAAAGCATCAATAGTATCTTATTCACTTCTACATACAGTCACACTTTGTTTACATTTATAGATTTTGTAGCCACATGTTGGTGGCTTTCACTGGAATCCACATTTGAAAATGGAGTTGTCCTTGCTTTTTCTACAAATTTTAATAACGATGATGAATGGATTTGAAATATAGAATTGGACAAGAGTGTGATATTATTAAATCCAATCAAGGACGTATTTAATTCATTTTTTGTCAGTTCTATTTTTCTTAGACCTGCTTATCACGAAAGGCGCGAATTGCTACAAACATTTATCAATGAAATGCTTTTCTAACAATCATCTTTGATGCCACAACATTAATAGGTAAGGGGACCACCAGCCCCCAAGCCACCCCCGCCAACCCCAACGCCCACCCCCGCCAACCCCCAAAGCCCACCCCCGCCAACCCCCAAGCCACCCCCCGTCAACCCCCAAGCCACCCCTGCCAACCCCCAAGCCACCCCCGCCAACCCCCCAAAGCCACCCCCAGCTAACCCCAAAGCCACCCCGCCACCCCCAAGCCACCCCCGCCAACCCCCCAAAGCCACCCTGCCAACCCCCAAGCCACCCCCGCCAACCCCCAAGCCACCCCTGCCAACCCCCAAGCCACCCTGCCAACCCCCAAGCCACCCCCGCCAACCCCCAATCCACCCCCTCCAACCTCCCAAGCTACCCCTGCCAACCCCAAGCCACCCCTCCAAGCCACCCCCCTCTCAAGCCACCCCCGCCACCCCTCAAGCCACCAACTAGCCACCCCTCAAGCCACCCCAAGCCACCCCTTCAAGCCACCCAGCCCACCCCAGCCACCCCTCAAGCCACCCCATCCACCCCTCAAGCCACCCCAGCCACCCCTCAAGCCATCCCAGCCACCCCTCAAGCCAACCTAGCCACCCCTCAAGCCACCCCAGCCACCAAATGGGGAGCAAGCCTATTGTTTTAATAAGATGACGTCACATTCCCATTGTTTTAGAACATGTCCTCTAAAGTATCAGGGGCGGTGGCCCCTCTCGCCCGCCAAAGTGTCCGCCACTGGCCACGAGCCTCCAGCCTCCTAGCTCCGGCGTGCCTGTAGTAAAATGATATTATGTACAATTATTTACAAAACTATGACCACTTTTTCTTTCCACAGGTAGGTTCTGAATTTGAATATTTCTTTGCATTAACAAACTAATCATAAAACATTTTCTTTTAAGGGCATCCTTCGTGTTTGGAGATGAATCGGCAGCTAGTTGAAGTAATCAAAACGTATTCCTGGCAATGCATGGAATGCAAAACATGCACACTCTGTAGCAATCCACATGATGAGGTTTGCTCTTATTTTCCTCGTTTGAAATGATATGGATAGCATCTCTCGAGTCTAGAATAATTAACGGGATGAATGGCTAGCAGTCCCTTTATATAAGAATATTAGGGTTTTCATTGATTTTTGAAGCAGAATGCTCGCATTTGAAATTAGGCGTCTATAAATTTACTAAGTTATTGTGCATTGTTGCTAAACTTAGGGTGAAAGTAGACGGCACAGGTTTGGTGAGTAAGCGATGGACTTTTGCCGGTTGCAGGTTTCTCATTAAAACCTGGAATATTACAAAGAAAGTGTTTATTAAAATAAAAAGTAAGCGTATTTATGACAGAACAGTATGATAATATTAGTCGGAATAAGGATGTCATAGGTAGTTTTTTTCGAAAAATTAATAAGCGGTGGGGGGGGCATTTATTCTGGACTTAACGTTTTATTTGTTTGGTATTTGTGCACATGCATTAAGAAAGCTTAAACCAATAAATACTTTGATCTAGATACTTTTGTATTGTCCTTTATCAAAATATTTGTATCGATTGCGCAATATTCCCGTTTTGTTGGTGCATGAACCCAACTAACTTTGTATATAAGCAATGCTGCGTTCTAAGTTTGCTAAATATGAATGCATTTTTATGGATTCTAGTAGATTTGGTTCCAAAAAATCTCTCTACACTCTGATCTCAAAATGTTAAACCTTTGCATGGCATTTAGCGCTTGGGATATCTTCCACCAACTTACCTCATCAGCGACCTAGAACTACATTCTGCTTGCAACTCTGCTTTTTCACGTTATTAAGTCTTCTCCCAACACTTATCATGTTTTGCCACAAAAAGTATTGCTATTGGAATCATACCAAAAATATCGTCTGGCTCATATTGATTCTCTAAGCCAAAGTTGAATAGTCATTAGTAAACAAAGTCAAAGGGTATCGTTTTCAGTCTAGCCTGCGTGTTTTAGTTTACGACTTGTATCAGAACACATGCGTCAATCTAAAATGCTTTCTCATCATCAGAAAGTTTTATTTCAGAATCCTTTGTACTGGTTTTAAAACCCAGTGGTATTTTTGTATTTTACATTACAGTGAATACTGTAACTGCATATTGTTTGTACAAGCCCATTTCATGAAACGTTTTATCTCTGTTTTTAAATTCGCCTGCCGGAATAAATAAGAAAGATTGACACAGGTATGACTTTTAATTTCAGGAACATATGATGTTTTGCGATAACTGCGACCGTGGATATCACAGTTATTGTGTTGGCTTGAAGAGTATCCCTGACGGTGAGTGTCATTTCTTCTATAATTTCTCATATTTGAATCTTTACAGACTTCTATAGTGTTTCTATTCTGGTCTAAAGTCCAATTCATTCATTAACAATTCATTAACCTATAGGATTTACCTCTTGGTTTTGTTCTAAGAGCAGGTGATTGAACTTCAGTGCAAGAATAGCGCTCATCGTTGTGGCCAATGAGTTAAAAATTTCAAAGCTTTTCAAAAGATTAAAACATGGCCTTGAAAAAGACATCAATTTCTGGGATCTTCAATTGTCTCGATTCTGACGTAAATACAGTATTATTCCGATAACTCCACCCTGTAAGATGAATAGTGTTCGAGTTACCGATTGTTCGAGTTATCCAGAGCTCGAACGTATTTTCGGGGGGAATGCAAAAGCATTTTGTGTTATCTGTGGTTCGATTTACTGAGATTATGTTGGATTCTTTTGTTTGCTTGTTGCTACGTTTGTAATGTTGCTCTCTCGGGAAATGGCTTTGTCTGTTTGATGCTATTTTTAACATGGTACCAGCGCTTTGGTTTCATGCTAGCAATGCATGTAGATGTCATAAATCTCATAGATGTCACCGATGTCTCATGCAACTTTAAAGTGAATTTTTGTGCAATATTAATGGTATTTCATGTCGTTGTAAAATCTCTTAAACGCTTGTGTAGCCGATAAATCCAGGTTATTCCTAATGGTGAACTTTTTATAAATTTGTTTTCAAGATGCCTATCAAAAAATCGTCCATCTTGAAAGTAAGATAGATGAGCATCACAAGCTTCCAAATTAGGTTATAACATGTTTCCCTTTATGGAATATTCCTCATTCCATACCCTATTATATCTAGCTTGGCTTTACGCAGTGACGTCATGGTATGGTTCTGCATTATGACCCATTCATTCTATGGTTAAATGTTAGATGGCAGTGTAAATAAATGGTTGCTTTTGTGTGTTACCGTTTCCCGTCCTCTGATGATTGTTTTGGCAAAGAGGGCAAAATGTGATGAAATACCTCTAAATTTGATGAGTTTTATGAACATTTACAGTGTAAAGGATACTCTCTTTTTCTCTCTCGCAGGTCGTTGGGTGTGCGATAAGTGTGGTAAATGTGCTTCTTGCCTTTCTCGGCAGCCGTGCCCGGATGGCGCACCTGGAAAGTGGCGCGAGGAGGTATCCCGCTAAGAATCTATTCTCGTCTTATGTTTCCGTTTCATTACGTATAAAAAATTAATTTTGTTAGTAATGAAGTCCCATACACGAAGTTTGTAACTGCTTTTGTATTGCCTTGGAAATGTTGGTAGTATACAAGATAAATCTGTGTCAAAGAAAAATCACGTACATATGAATCGATTTATGAGAAAGTTTCAGTAAAAGCAGGCTCAATACATTTTTTACATTCAATACAAATTGGACAAAAAACGGCAATTAAGTGGTGTACAATGTACTTTATGTAGTTCGCGGGTTGGGCATAGTGGTCAATGCAGTGCCCTTTCCACATACACGCTACATCGCGTTATTTCGAGATTGGCTAGAAGGTTGAATGAGGAGTGTTCCTCCACATACTGATTATAGTTAAACCTGATGAATTTCGCTAAAAGTAACTTTGTTTTGTTGTTAAGGCGGATGGGAAGTTAAAAATTGGGAGTTCTTTTTGTTCCGGTACTTGGAACTTTTGTTCATAGTGGCTCTAGTAATCGCTAAAGTAAGGTGAAAGAGGGAAATTTCCTCACCTTCTACCCATGAAATTGCGGGTTGGCGCTCACTTTTCTCGCATCTGAAGTAGTACTACCACTCTCATTTTTAAATGGTTGCATTTCTTGTGACAGTACTTCGAGTCGCGTTAGGATTTAGACGAAGAAGACTTCATAGTTTCTCACATTTTCTTGATTATTAAAAAGCTCCTTTAACTACAAAATCAATCTATTTATATTCTTTAAAACAGAAATGCTAAATACAATGGTTGAGTGACAGTTGGCTACCACGCATGTGAATTAAATACTTAAGAAGGTTACAGAAGTATACAGCGATCCTGTTACATTCTAGGGGAGAGGGGGACTGGATGGGAGGGGGGCTGGATGGTAGAAGTCCTTTTTGAATAATATACAGTATATCGCTTTATCTTTCTTTTTTTATTGTGGGTTTTCATATTCTTATACAAAGTTTGAAATATTGTAAATAAATTTTTATGATTCAATTTAACTAATAGCTTTTTAATTTGTTTTGTTAGATTGTAGTTAGTGTTTCTATCCGAATATCCAAAGGCCTCTTGAAAACAGCTTTTGTTGACGAGCAACCCTTCTTAAAATAATTAAAGAAGACAAATAATAACATATAGGGAAGTTAAAAATAAAAGTGAAAAAGTACGCATCATTTTTTCTTTCAGTTCAAAAGACCAAAAGATGGAGGAGATGCAGAATTTCTACAATATCACTGTCATAAGTGCTCAAAGTACGTCATTTTATTAGCAGTACCAGAAATTTATCACATTCTCCTTTCCCTATGTAGATCTTATTCTTATCGCAAGAACAAAGTAACTACAATCAAGCCAATTCGCAAAGCGTTTCTTAGAATTTTTTTAAAATCTGAGGCTAGGAAACTAACATTTCGTTACTTTTCCAAAGCTTATGAGTTACACTGATGATAAGAAACGAGTTTTTATTCTCTGGTGTTTCGGAGATCTAATATTCGTAGAATTGCATGGATTTGATTGAAGTTCTGTGAATCAGCATTTTATTGTTTTATGTCATGTTTTGTGTCATTGTAGCTTGTGAGTTAGGAGATATTCAATAAGGCCCATAACATTTCCAAGTAAACTTAGCTCTGAAACCTGTTTTCAGAAATGGAGATTTAATCATTTTCAAGTTATTTTGAAATGTCAAAAATTTGTTTCCTACAACACAAATCGAGGAGCGGACACTTGGGCAAATATTGGGGAGGGGGGCAAGCCTATCTTTTTAATATGATGACGTCACATTTTCCCATTGTTTTAGAACACAAGACTATTGTACTGCAAAGTATTTGGGGCGACCACCCCTTCGCCCCCCAGGTGTCCGCAACTGCATAAATCCTAAAAAAGTGAATATTGACTTACCTTTGAGACAAAAAATTAGAAGATGACACCCGTGGATGAGGTAAGCCTAAGGAGAAAAAGTGGGCCTGATTTGCTATCATCTGATTTGCTATCATGCTGTCTAACAGCAGAGAGCCCGAGCTGGCCTTATCAGAAAGCAGGCTCTTTCTGCGTCTAAAAATGAATTATTTTACTTTTGCAAACATGTCTCATATCAAATAGCATAATCTGAATTGTTCACAAACTTTTGAGCACATCAGATGTTCAAAGGCATTATTGGGTCTGATTATTGATATGGCTGAAGCAGTTTTTGACAGCCAGAATCTTTTCTTTTTACGATATCCTGAAACTAGCTTTGTTTTCCTGTCGGGCAGATAAGGCGTGCGCTTGTGTTATATTTCTGAGAATAAATTGCTAGATGCCAATTTACTACTTCAATAAATGTACCAAGAGGTTGCTTTGGTGTCGTAACACTCTATACTTGCTTAATTCAAAGTTTTGAATATGGCCGTGTTGCCGTTTTGTTATTTACTACTTCAATGAATGTACCTAGAGGTTGCTTTGTTGTCGTAACACTCTATACTTGCTTAATTCCAAGTTTTGAATACGGCCGTATTGTTATTGTCTATACTTCAATTGCCCTGTCCGTAACACCCACTCCAGTTGCCCTGTCCGTAACGTAACGTTTGCCAAGCGTTTCTCAGCAGTGAATATGCTGCGTCTTATTCATGGTAGTTATGAATTATTTCTGTTTAGATCACAAATCATTGTTTATGCTCTGCGCGATTCTTTATAGAACTTTGTACTCGTGTTTCAAAATTAGCATTCCCATGAATTGAAACCTGGAAATTTGTTGTTGAATCTCACGAAGTCGTTGTTTATCAATTTTTTCTTATGAATAGAGCCTAACCTCATTGATGACATCCAACCAGGCAGTTTACTGCCCACTCATCCTGTTTTTTATTGTTTACATGTGATCTAAGTTAAAGAATTTCACTTTCCTTATTTTTCAATGCCTTTCAGAAAAAGGTTTGTGTTATTCTGCATCGTCATCTTCCACTAGGCTGTTCATTTCTAAACATTGTGTTGTTGTTTAAAACTTCATGATTGTTAAATATTCTTAATGTTATAATAACTTGAATTTTTCTTTCGTTCCATCATTTCCTCATAATGATGTAAGATTTCCTTTAAATATGTTACCCTAAAACTGTATCAGATTTGATATTCAGATTTGATATACATGTAAATATGAACATTTTAAGAATATATGCAGACTCAAGACGAAATTCTCTTAAGAATATCGAGGGAATGTAATAATAAGAATAACTGAAGAAAGTTTCATAGTATTCTTGTACAAAAAGTGTGTAGCAGTTCAAAGTTATCCAAAGCCAGTTTGTTAAAATAACCTAAAGAAGTTATGGACAGACGCCAAATTATTTGTAGGCTAGTTAGTCGGTAGTAGTGCACGATAATGAGTTTCAAACTAGGCGTTTAGTTAGATGCAACTCACCAAATGGTTAATTTGCTATATAAATAGTACGCATCAAAGGAGGCAGCCTGGAGCTCCGTATTTCCTTCTCGTGTCTAGGTATTTATATAGATATTCTTGAACGGATATTCTTGAAAGACCGCGTTGAGTAATGTACTAGATTTACAAGTATTTGGGCCAGGATAGCGTACCCCAGGCATTGTGGGTCTCCTAAACCGTTACTGAAAGTAAAGAAAGATCTCTGGAATCATGTGACATGAATTCTCTCCGTGTTAAGCTCTATCTGACAGCTATGAAGAAAAAGTTAAATAGCATTTTATCTGCGTTTCTCGCCCTGATGATATTTTTTAGCATTTTTACTTTATTTGCAGATTGTTCCGGTCAGGAAACTTTTGCCCGGTCTGTCTAAAGGTTTACCGGAGTGATGAAAAAGATTTGCCAATGGTTTGCTGCGATTCTTGTGATCGATGGATTCACACAGGTAATTTTTCGTGCCAGTAGACATGATGATCATAAAAAAGGATTATCATACTGGAACATAAACAATGAAAATATTCCAATTAACCAAAGAGTTACTGTCTTGTAAAGAAAGTTCTTATCGTATGCGATATTTTTTTTCATTTATACAAACGATTTTATACTATGACTTATTGTTTAATCATTCGGCGATCAGTACAACTGTATCATAAGCTGTGACCCCATTGCAACTGCCATCTAAGAAGGAAGGCCAATAATTTTATAAAAAGGATTGATTTGTTTGTGTTATAAATTCCTGTCTATTTACAAAACAAGCTTTTCTGCATACCTTTATTGTTTCTTGGACAAATATCTTTACTCTGATGAGGATTGAAATTTGCAAATTATTTTAGTTATATTCGACCTTTTCAGGCTACCTCGTTATTGCATGTACCTCGTTATCGCATGTACCTCGTTAGAAAAAAGACTACACTAATCTTATAATGAATCTGTAAATTTTGCAATATAGATTAAATTAGCTTTGATTATCAACATTTTCGTTTAAAAGAAAGGATGTTCTATCATAATTTGGATGACTGGTAATAAGTAGCTATCTAAGCATTGTAGTTTCTCATATGACTGAATTTTAAAGGCTTATTCACGCAAGTTCATCCAACGGTTACATTGGAATCTTTTTCGTTTTTCGATAGATTGTGATGGTATTGACGACCGAAAGTATCAGGAATTGTCAAAAGACAGCTCGGCCCAGTACAAATGTGTCATATGTCGTGGAGAGAAAGAAGAGCGTGTTGATGCAGTACAAAAAGATGCAAAAAACTGATTGTGGGTATAATTATTGTGGGCAGAATATGGATATATTGTCCTGTTCTTATGTAAAGTCGATTGCTGTTCACTGTCATGGTCCTTTTTGTGTCTAGATTTGCCGTTAGATCCTTTAGATTTTCTCTGTCATGTATTGAAAGAAGTAAATCGATAAAAAGACCCTTCAAAATTATCTGAAAGTTAAAAAACTCTTAGCGACTTGAAAGAAAATTGAGATGTAGTGTCTCTGCTTTTCATTTCACTATCGCCCTGTGAAGTTAATGATACTTTTGTTGAGATGTTTTGTTGTTGTATCAGGAATCAAGTTAGAATTACAAATGGTCTTTATTTCAGTTACTGCTACATTGATCTAACTTTCTTTCATATAAATACCTAATCTTAGGGCAGTTTCGCCTTCATGGCTCCGGGCTGGATTCCAGAAAGCTGGAATACCACCATTGTAATTTTGCCTAAAGGGTCTTCGTGAAGATTTAAAATCAGAAGGGTTGGTGCTAGCCCCTTCTTGTTTATTTCCCTACGACAGTCAGTGTGGAAGCAAATACTTTACAACACTATACCAGATAATTCCAGGAAAGACGTAAACGCGAAACCAAGAATGGATTATATCATAATCAAATAGAAATCGTTTTGTTGATATCAATAGCGAAGTTCACTTTCCCGTATGGTTAAATTGCCCTATGGAAAGATGCACTCAATGCATTGGCCGCATCCCCTAATATCCGGACGCTAAGTGAGAATAAGCGCGACCGACAAGGGGGTTCTTGGGGGTGATTTTCGTTTAACTATTATTCCTATGTTTTTATCATTTCCTCAAGAATTTCACCTCTATCGTGGGTACTCTCTATTTTTTGTTAACATTATAAATTGATGCCGAATCTTACCATCACTGTCATGTTCAAAAAGCCTTAGTGTTGACGATCAATTATATTTTAAAAAAATCGTCCATTCGGCAAAATAGTTAATGAATAGTCTTGGTAATAAATTGAAACTGAAGTTTCTATTCTTATGGTCAGCCTGGGCATAAGCAAGTTAACAAAGCGTAAGCAACATCCTGTTGGCTATCATTTAGCTATCTTTGTATTGGATAATTTGCCTCACAACAATATCGTTCCAGTATGTTTTGGTCAAGCCTTTTCTCTGTGAAAGGTCAAACTAAATCGATTTTAAAGATTCAGACCCAACTACTGCGAAACGCATCTTTGCTTTGCAGTCATCCACGAACCTACTAAATTGTGTATTGATGTTTCTGGGTTTTCACCTCTAGAATCCCCAGGATGCAAGTATTAAGGAACGTTATGTAACTTATCAATAGCATGACCTGCTACTTGTTTATTTTGTTCTTGTTCCTACACCAATATTAATGAAGCACCAAGTATTAATTATCTGATATGATACACGCACTGACTAGACTAAATGAGCGTATACAATATTGACATCGTTCCGGTGGCAATATTGTATACGCTCATTTCCGAAAAGAAATTGAGGTTTCATATATAGTGTGAATACTGCTTTATTCCCATGACCTTGTCTTTTCTACTTATCGTAGCTAAAGGCTTTTGGGTGGAAATAATGGTATTAGTCCACTTATTTTGTCCCTTTGGCGAAAGAGAAGAAGTTGCAGCATTCGCACTGAATTGCACTAAATGTACACTACACAATATTCTTTTTTGAAATATCTACTTGTCTCGAGACAGTCAGAAAAAATTATAAAATGGGATCAGAAAAAGTTTTTAAACTTGTAGTTTTTCTGACGGCAGGGTCTTGCTAATTTGATATTTTTATGATAAAATACTGTCGTTTTGCTATGAAAATGCAAGCTTGGCCTAAGTATATCTGAAAAGGCAACGAAAAAGCTAAACTATCTTTTTATATTTTTGCTTTCAAGCCCTTCAATACGATACTATCGGTACAACGCTGTCTTGATCTGACAGTGTACATTTCTTCATGAGAACCGATCGTACCGTTGTGGCTACGACCGTTCTAATCGCAAGCAATAATTGAGTTGTGATGGAAACATGTATACATAAATATCTGTGTTAATGAATACAAATCACGTTTGCACTACATTTATATGAGCTCGTATGAGAGGACACCTGAAATAACTTCCCACAAATGACTCAACCTGTCGTCTTGAATAATTGATTGAGCAAAAAAGCTCTCGTAGGTCTGATTTAAAAGATACCAGCAGTGAGAAAATAAGATAGTCTGTTCGCTATCATGATGGTGATTTGGAGTTTCTGAGGCTCAAAAGGAAGATAAAGCTTTGACTTACGTACGCGACCCCACGTGCTTATGGATTGGCGGACATCGAGATTGCTCTCTTCCTTGCTGTTAGTGGTAAGTCATACACTACTTGCCCCTATGCAGAATATGCATTTTAACAATCTGTTGCCATCAAACTTTTTTACACATATTCAAAGGCATTCTGCGTCTCCCCGGCAGCAAAGCTTAAAAAAATTTTCTTTCATTAAATATTTTTCTAAAGTTTCCTAAGTGTAAGATTCACTTGATTTAGCAATTTTAAATTCCTATGTGCAGCAAGTAGTTCTTTTGAAGGAGCTAAGTGTCTTCTACGAAACGTCCTTTTAACATAGAGTTGAGACCCGTTGCAATCTAATCAATCAGGTGCTCCTTCAAACACTGTGGTTGCAAATAAAGTGTGAATGTACAAAGAGCTCAATAACCTAGTTTTGTATTACTGGTTAAGAGTGCTAAGAAACTTTAACTTGTATTCGAATGTATGCATACATACATGTTTATTTGTATTCGAATTAAGGTGATTATAAGCTCCGGAGTGACGGTAACTAATTTGCCATTGCAGTTAAGCTTTCAAGAAAGAGTTAAAGGGCAATGCCAGAGCACAAGTAAGTACCACATTGCTGTTTATTCATTTAAATGATTTGGAATCCATGACTTGTAGAACAGGCTCTGTTTGATAAACATTTTGATCAATTTATAAACGATTTGCTAAATGTATTGATACCTATTTCAGAGACAGTTGGCTCGGAAGTCAAACCATCTAGACCTATTTTCAATACATTCAGCAACAGATCCCATAGTTGTAAAAAGCAAGGCTAGACTACACTTAAAGCGTCATAAAACCCAAATACATTTCTAGAGGATATCAAGTCTTGAGCATCAAAATTGGCCGTTTAGGGAATTTTTTGGTTTCAGACCATTTTGTTTTCGTCAGCGTTTCGGATTTTTAAAAAGCATTGTAATATCTACTGCTTGGCTATGTTTAAGACTAAATAAAGACCAATACTGTACTTTGCGATACCCGCAACGTGTCTCTGCAAGCAACTGGATTTGAAGAAGTATCCTCCTAGTTTTCTTGTCAATGTTTGACTGATTGTTATTCAACCAAATAAAGGGTTTCATCGATACCATAAGAATTCAGAGTCCTTTAGCATTGAAATCTGCTGAAATATCTCATGCCCTTCTTCCAACCATTCTTTAATTACTAGACAGATATATTTCAAAATTTTTGCGTCTACTTCAAGGAAACGATGCGTGAAGACAAGTTGTTGTTCTGTAAATATAGATCGTGACGTGTTGCTATCGGTATATGTTTTTGTGTTGTGTAGACTGTGCCTAAGATTGATTGTTCTTAATGAGCTAAGTTTTACTCGCCATGTCATAATTGAATTAACTATCACTAAATATTGCTTAATTTTTAAATAAATTTCATGTCAGTTCTTATACTGTAAAACCTGCAGTGGCGGAACTAAGGAGGGGCAACTGACGAGTTGAAGCAAGTCTGGCGACCCTTTTTTGGAAATTGTGCGCCCCTTTTGAAGAATTAGAATCAGGTGAAAAAGTTTCTGAGACCGATCGGTTAATTTGCTTCAAGGATTACCTCAAAGTTATGTTGTTTATTCCGAAAATGGATCTAAAATTGTTGTATGCAGCGTACCCTCGTCACCAATTATTGAAAATTTTTCAGCGCCCCCACTACCAACTGCCCCTCCTTCAAGTTTGCTCTTGATCCGCCCCTGAAAACCTGCTGGTTAAATTTGACATGAGACGCAGTAAGAGTAAAATGCATATAAAGTTATGACTAGCCTGATTTCAAAATGGCGTCCCGCAACAGGATACTTGGCTAAATTATGATATTAGATGCGTAGCTATTTTGTTGGCCATTCGATCCAAACTTACGTTTTGTAATCTTAATGATGTTAAGGTAATCTTCAAGGATTTGCTACATCTGTTGGCGACAATGCAACTAAATTTGTTTCATTTCATCTTATTTGCGAACACTTTTCCATTTAGCTGTCTGCGGTTGCAATCTTGCTGCCACCTCGACAAGGACCGCCTCTTCAAGCTTTTCCCCGGTATTTTCTGTCGCTCATTCTGGTATTAACAACGAGTTTAATGCTACCGATGTAAACGGCGCCCAAGTCATCTTGAATGGGGGATCTTGGGAGCCAGCTGCAGACGATGATAACCCGTGGTTTCAAGCAGATTTTGGATCAGTGAAAACCATTCGAAAAATAAGCACAAAAGGCAACAGCCATACTAACTCATGGATTAAGGAATACAATGTTTACACCAAGAATTCCTTATCAAGTAGCTTTTCGCTTTATAAAGTAAGTAGAATAATCTCTTGCAATTATAAACATTAACTCCTCATATACATGTTACTGTTTCTTAGAGAATGCTCTACAAAACCACGCCGTTTCGGGTTAGGGGTTAGGACGATGCGATTCAAAAGTGAACTGCTCCTTTGTAGTGTCAAACTATTTTTTTGAATGCGACTAGCAAATTTGGCTTGTATTATTCGATAGAAATTTCAAGCAGTTTACGTTTTTGATAGTCTTGCTACGACTTCCAATGTTAAACGAAGGAAGACTCTTAGGTTGAATTCACGCAAAAGTGATCTGCAGATATTTTCTGGAAGTGACAATGTTAATCAACGCGGCTGTGGCCATTTTTGCTAGGTTTTTATCCAGTTTGCAGGTTTTTTTGCAGTTTCATATTAGGCCTCCGGTAAACTAAAATAGCACCTCTTTTATATTGGATTGATAGCATAAGCAGCCTTAAGTTGAAGGAAGCTTCCGAAATGGTCAAAAAATGGAATCTCAATGTTTCTACATTTTTTCAGAAACTTCCGGGAAATGAAAATGCCGATCAGTTGCGAGTGCACGATTTGGGCGACCAAGGTCAATTTCAAGCAAGGATCATTAAGATTGTACCATTATCAAATGAGAGAAATGCGTCACTGAGAATTGATTTCACTGGTTGCGACAAAGGTAAATATTTTCTGATGAGAATTTGCCCTGCTGTTGTTGTTTAGTTTATCTCACATTTCTTCGCATTTGGTAAATAAAAAAAATTGATGTAGCAATATCTTTTGGTATAAGGCATTTTTTTATTGAAAGTCAGATTAAAATAAACATTGTAGATTGTTGCAAAGGTTAAATGTCAAGTCTGAGTTACAAGTGATTTTTATTTCATTTGGAAGGCCGATTTCGTTTTTTAAATGAATGCAAATCTACTTTTTGCAGTGGATGGTGGATGGACTAACTGGGAAGGCTGGAGAGGCTGCAGACGTCCATGCGGAGGAGGCTTACAATTCAGGTTTCGCTTGTGTGAAAATCCTAAGCCCAGGTTTCTTGGAATCAACTGTCCAGGAATCTCCGTTGACCAACAATCATGTAACGAGCATACCTGCCCACGTAAGTTAGCCACGTTAGTAAGCCACGTAAGTAAGCCACGTAAGTAAGCCACGTAAGTAGCCACGTAAGTAAGCCACGTAAGTAAGCCACGTAAGTAAGCCACGTAAGTAAGCCACGTAAGCAAGCCACGTAAGTAAGCCACGCGAGTAAGCCACGTAAGTAAGCCACGTAAGTAAGCGACTTAGCAACAATCTTCAGTAATAAAACCCTGTCCATATCGGGGAAGAGAGTGCGGTGGTCAGGGTTAATTAGGATGAGCAGGGCCTATCATGAAATAAGTCTCCATGTCAGTTTCGCTATTTTTAGAAAATGTGTATCACGGCTGTCGGCTGTTAATAATTTGCCCATAGCATTTCGCCTGTCACTCTTATTTCATCCAAGGTCCTTGTCGAGTCTTGCTATTTGTAAGATTCTTACCTTTAAAACTTTCAAGTTAGGCAACTTTATGTCAAATGTGCCTTCGTAAGATTCTTCGATGTTTGCTTTTTACCCATTTGGACAATAACCTTGTACAATACATTGCTACTTTTGCAATGTATTTCATATTAATTCCGATATTTGTCCTCAACAGCCACGGTAATGAGCCTAGAGCTACATCTACCTTCTGAGACTTGGAATGTTGCTCTTGCTGAGCCTACTTCAACTGTTCTATGCACGGATCTTAAGTCAAATGTAAGTACACATGTGTTTTACGTCACTGTGTTTCATAATTTTTATTCCTTATTTGATCGTTTCTACTAAGCTGGATTAAATGTATCCATGTTGATAATAAGGGAAACAAAACTTGAACCTTAGTGCATTAAAACAAGATATGCACACAAAAGAATTAACAATAATGGATCATTATTATTATCCTTCCTTTCTCTTTGTAACTATGAAGATTAGTCTACGACTAGACATTCTACCTATACAATATATATCTTAAATTCTGCGTCTTCTCCTTATAGTTTTTAGCGGTCTATGTCCCACCTGGTGGTTTAGACATCAATGTCGCGTGTACATTTTATCAGTGGTAAGTTTTACTGCAATGAAATCCTTGGTTGTTGGAAAGGCAAGTAAATGGACTGCTTACTGTAAAAAGTTATTGATTATTTAGTATTTTCTTGGAGTAGAAAGCCTACATACATTAAAATTACGATAGCTGAAACTTTCAATGAAAAGCTAATTTGTCCAAGTTATCAAAAGTCTGAAATTGTCAAAATTTGTCCAAATTATGGAAGGTTCAAATAAGCACAATTTGTCCAAATTATCGATAATTTGAAATTATCAAAAATTTCTCTAAATTTTCAAAAGTTCGAATGATCAAAATTTCTTCAAATCTTTTAGATTTCAAATAATCAAAACTTGTCAAATAATAAAGTTTTGTTCATATTATCGAAAATTTGGAATTATCAAAATTTTCCTTTCTGTTAAAATTTCGAAATAATGGAAGTTTTTCTAAACTATCGACAGTACAAAATTATCAAAATTTTCTAAATCTTCGGAAACTCGAATAATCAAAGTTGGCCTAAGCTGGGACTTGTGTCGGGACAAATTTCTGTTTAATGGTGAAATCACCATAGTTTGACAGTACCTTAGTTTTTACAGTGATTTTACAGTGTTTTTACAGAAATAAAATGTCAATTTTGCTGTTTGGTATTGTAAGGTAGTTTTTAAGGACTACCATTTGTGTTTTTTCTTAGCTTATATGGTGAAGACAATTTCATAACACCAGATTCTTTTGAAATAAGACGATATTCATTCTGTTTTATCCATTCTTCAATATCAATAAAGGACTGGATATCGATTGCATAAATACCTTTATTCTTTTGTACCACAGGGACACAACGAAAGTTAGGGTTATTGCAAATATAACCCTACATCCGCCAAACTCTTTGTACATTGCTAAGCTCCAGGATGGTCTTCACTACCACCAAAGAATTCATAGCATGGCGGCCATTTTGGCACATTATTCCTCGACTGTTGGTAAATATTTCTTGTGTCTAATCGATTAACAAAACTCTGGTGTTTCTTCTTTTTCTCGAGCTATTTATTGTCAAGTTCGTTGCTTAAGTAGAATTATACTAAAATGGATGTCGTTAAAATATGGATAAGATATATGCCGTAAACTGGTCATATGTGAACAAGGTTTTTGCTCACAGCTTTTGACCATATATTTGACAATCAATTTTACTGACCAATATTTCTAACTGGAACACACTTTAAAACCCTAATCGATGAATACCAAGAAATTGGGTGCTTTGGCTCCTTTTATCACGAAAAAGAATCAAGTTTGGTTTTTTCAACAGTGTTGCATGTTATTTTCACCCTCTTCCATTTTTTCTCCTCTATCTAACTAATCTAGAATAAGATAGATAGTAAATTAGTAATATATACATCAACCAGAATTTCGCGAACACCCTCCTTTCCTTTTTGCGTTTGGTAAGCTAGAATTGTTAATTTGAATATATATGATATAATTTAAGAATCGTTTCTATTCAAAATTTTATTTTTTAATATTTTCCTTATAGTGCCATACCCACCAAGCATCCTTTCTTTTAATTCCCTGGAATTCAAGTATATAGCTGTCACCGCGGCTGCAGCATCTACTGGACCTTCTGCTCTTGGTTACGAGATATTTTATAGACTCGATACCACAGACCCAGATGGAGCATGGACCTACACAAGTCCAGAAGCCTCTACAGGGGCGTGTGACTCCTTTCCAGTCTGCTATATATGGAATACTGCAGCGTTTCATAATTACACTGCCAGAATTATTCCTTTCAGTGGAAATGGATTCGGATTTGGCTCGTCTCCATACAAAGTACGGGCTAGAGAAAGACGTAGGCGAAGATTCCATTAATTTGCTATTTATTTTCGCTTAAACTTTTGAACATTTAATACAATAACATCACCTATTGGGGTTAGTCTGTGTGCATGCTTATCACGGGGCATGGAAAATCAGCTATATGCTTTTAGAATTTCTCTCCAAACCAACGCATTTTGTATTACTGAACAATTTAACGTATTTTGTGGCATTGTTTTATTTCCTTTTCTCACTGTGATATTTCTAGTACTCTTAACTTCACCTATGAACCTTTTATGGAGCATGTGCAATCCTAGATATTTATCTCATATTGCCAATTTTCAAAATGAATTGTATTTGCAAGGGTCTCTACGTACAGAGATAAAGTACCACGTGGGTAGAATGCACTTTCATAGACATAGCAAGTAGCTGTGTCTGGATTATATGTCAATGTATTGTATTTATTATGGTGTGAGCTATGACCCTATTAAGTCTCTCCCGCTTCTTGTCTATAAAGAATAAGAAAATACCAAAAAATATCTTAAAATTTTGTTATTAGCAACTAATTGTCTGATTGCTACTGAGTCCAAATGCATTGCTGCTGCTTACCTTATATACTCACAATAACTCTGAAATCCTTGCCAGAGGTCTTTGGTACCCTTTGTTGCTTGAAATGTTTTTTGAAAAATTACCAGTTTCATAAATAAAAGACCGGGAGCTTGCCCGTTCCCCAACATCAACTTAGTTGGATAATTTGTATCATAACAACGTGACAAGAATCAGTTGGGCTTCACCGAGCTTCTTAGCATTACGCGAAACAACGTTGTTTGGAGAGGGTATGGTAATGAAATAGGGAATTTGCTTATTCTTGGTGTAGTTTACTAAAACTTTTTGAAAAGGATCGTATCAGGGATGGTGAACAATTCTGAACGAGTCTGTCTGCACCAAAGTTACCAGGGAAAACTTTTGTAACTTTTGGAACTTGCATTTACTTGAGTATGATACATGCATGGTTTAGAATCTCTGCTTTCAGATCAAGTTTCTAATAGTATTATTTCTCCATTTTAGCGCCAGAAGTCCCCAGTAATTACGCTGGCGTTATGGTGTCATCAAGAAGTATAAGGGTATCATGGTCTATTTTGGGACTTACGCAAATGCATGGAAATAGTGAGGGCTACCAAATTAGATACAAACCACGAGACAAAGGAAACTGGCAAAACATTAGAGTATGGGATCATTGGACGAGTCAATACTTAATTACCGGATTGGAAGAATATGTTGTGTACCATACTCAAATTCAAGCCAAGAATACTCTCCACTACGGGCACTTCTCGCATTCAGTTTCAGTTACAACCGATGAAGACAGTAAGTTTTTTTCATTTTAAATGAGTAGGACGCGATAGAAAAAATCCACCGAAAACGTACAATATGACTGGTTCCTTATGAGTTTGAATTCAAATTTTTCCTAATAATGGACCCTCGCATATTGCATTTATATTACGTGGAATCCTAATGGATTATCTATTGGCTTGTCTACTTTTCAACTACTGTATATGCAGTGTTATGCTTACTGTAATGTGTTCTACTAATTATGACATTGGGGAAACCAGATGATATAAACAAAGCAAGAAAAGTTCATTCGGCAAAGGAAAAGTAGCTCCGTAAGCTTGAAACGTGCAGCAGGCAAAGCAACCTAGAAACTATTTGTTATTACATGGTCTTTTTATTTGTCATTTTTTAAGATCTGTAATTTTATTCTAGTTCCATCAGCACCGCCGTCCACTGTCTCAGTCTCACCAGCCTCCTCCACGTCATTGCATGTTTCATGGTCTGAGGTCCCCGTGGATGATAAAAATGGAATCATTATCAACTACAAAATCAATATCACGTTAGGAACAGTCATGGCTGCTGAAAATAGCTCTCTGGTGGTAGTCGAAAATGGAAATCAGTATACTCACGTTATCCCAAACCTTATTAAATGGACATTTTACACGGCACAGGTTGCTGCTAGCACGATCAAAGGGACAAGTGTGTATTCTGGTCCTAGAACTGCCCGAACATCGGAGGACAGTGAGTATTTTTCTTCTCTTCTTTTAAAGCAACAAGAGTTATCATTATTATGTTTTTAAGCTGGTGTATTCATAATCATTTTCATCAGGCCGACATATTCTGTTCCAGGACAGGTAGACGGTGTACCGATGCTGTGCCATTATACACAGTGTCACATTTCAAAGTAGAAAAATGAAAATTTGTGTAACTTCCATTTGTGCAATATTAATAAAAATTTACATTACATTATGGAATAAAGTTGAATGTTCACGTCTATTTGATCAGTACATTTTGAGAGGCCGTTGGGTGTGGCCATGGTGCACAAAGGCTTGAAGGGGCTAGGTCACGTAACCGTTAACAAACGTCTTGGGCGGGACAGCCTGCGTGTAAGAGGGGTTTCATTTACCAATTGTGAAAGTGAAGTGTCAGAAAAAATGGAAGACCTTGAGTTCGTCATGCTTGCAGCAATGCTGCCAAGTCTGAATCGTTCTTAAACCATTGGCTTTCAGTGATGCTCACTGTTGGTGAACCAGGGCTTTCACAAACAAATGCCTCTGAGCTGTCCCTTCGGCCAAACATCCTGTTAGGACGTTCCGTTCTCGTGTTCCCACTGCTTTACAAACGGCTTCTTTTTCGTGGACTGATCAATGAAATGATGTGGAAATATACGTAGAAAATCAATCTTTAAGGCTCTGGCAATGCCAAAGAATATTTTGTAACAAGAGAAGTTAAAATTCTCTCATAATGCTGCGGTTCTTATGCCTACCAAATTTCACTCCAGCTTCTGTGGTGGACTCACGCAGTCCACAAGCATGAACACAACAACATTGTCCAGCAGCCTTGCACGTGACCCAACCCTTTTACGATTTGCACAGTTGACAGTCATTATGTGTAGTAGAGGAACATTTACGCGCCTTTATACTCCTAAAACGCTGGAAACATCTACCGAATACAATCAAATATTACATTTTTAACATTTGATAACACTATCTTTATTGCAGGGCCTGATATTGCACCTGGAAATTTTCGTGGTATTGCTGGTTCATCTACGACGATTAGTTTGCTTTGGAATCTTATCCCACTTGTGCAAAGACATGGTGTCATAACGAGATACATTGTAACATACTATCGTGTCGATAATCCCACGAACATATTGCATTCATACTTCGATGGTGAATCAACGCTTGCAGGAACAGTTACTAGTTTGCACTATTGGACTGAATATAGCTTGAAAATCGCAGCATCCACTTCTGCTGGCCAGGGCCCATATAGCAGTGCGATAATCATTAAGACGGAAGAACATCGTGAGTCGATTTGCACTTTTGCTGACTATTTTCTTTCCAAATTTCAGTTTCTGAATGACTTTATTCGCGCTTTGAAAGAATTTGATTGCTTAAATGTTGTAAAGAAATCAGTTATTGGAACTGCTTTTTGCATTGTTTTGTTTATACTTTTTATTTAAAACTAAGTTCGATCTTTTCGATATGAAGTCTATTTGGTCTTAAAAGACCAGACAAGATTCAATGAATTATTAGCTGAGCAATATTCATGGAATCTTTTACCACAAATTGATTATAATGATTGATAACTGCTAGTATTCAGAAGCAATATTTGCAGCAGCATTGGATTATTGTTAAAAATATACTCTAAGCATATAAATGATTTTTTGAATGATCTTAGGACTGGGTGAGCTGTTGTTCGCTAGAAGATCCATGTTACCGTTGTGAAGGAGCAAGAAGCCTTTTTCTTAATTTTTCTTCACAAAAGCCTTATTTGAAAATGGATTTTTAGTCATTTTAGCTAATTCTGGGTCATGGCTAGTATATTTCTATGAATGCTCTTCCACTTCTTTACTATCATGTATCAATCTCAAATGCCTGGTTCTTTTACAGCCCCAACTCAATATCCTCGAAATTTTGAAGGTTTCAATACAAGTTCTTACAGTATACGAGTACTATGGGAAAGAGTCTCTGAACCGTACAGACATGGTGTTATTCTTGGTTATAAATTGCAGTATAAATCTCAAAGCGAGACAACATGGGCTGTCGTCTTTCTTCTTGGCACCAGTAACAGAAGTTTTGAGATCAATGGCCTAAATAATTACACCCTCTATGATTTGAAAGTTTCCGCTTACAATTCAAAAGGAACCGGAGTTGAGAGCAACATCCAAGTTAGAACTGACGATGCGAGTAAGTTTTCAGGAACCTTAAATCTTCAAATTTCGTTGAATGATTAATCAACCATGTAGTATCAAGATCAAAGAGCTTTTTCTCTAAATCGGGGCAAATTTGTTTTTCAAATGTTTACAACTCATTTTAAAAGTCATATAATCAAATACGCCTTTTGTACCGCAGGTGAAACTCATGCCCCCGTCCATAGAAAACTCTGCCCCAACTGGTCAAAAAAGTTTAGCCGTTTTGTAAATTTTCATGTCGTTCTGTTGGATTCTGTTGGACAACGATTAGCCACCAGAGTAAAACAGCATTTTCCCAGAATAAAACATCAGTCAAAAAACGTTTTTAAAACATCAGTCAAAAAAAAATTTTAAAACATCAGTCAAAAAACGTTTTTAAAACATCAGTCAAAAAACGTTTTAAAAAGAGAACAGCCACGGTGTGTTTGCGAAATCACTTTGCCCAAATAGAATTCGATTCGCACAAAATTTCAGATAACATTCGCACAAAAATCCGGAGTGCCGCAAAATGTAAAGTGATATCTTCCTCTCATGACACGATATTTATTCTACAATTATATTTATTTTACATTGTAACTTGTCAGTTGAGCATCATGAAACAATTTACCGTACAGATTTGGCTTTTCCAAAGACAAGAGCTGTATGATAAATTATACCAGACTACAACTGCAGACTGCATTTGCCTTTGTAAGATTTAATGTCCAATCATCTTGTTCTTCCGTAATTTGATTCATTATTTCAACATTGCTAGTTCCCACGCTACCACCTGAGTCAGTTACCGCCAGAAACACGAGTTCGACGACATTGCATATCCAATGGCAACGTATACCAGAAATATCGAGGCACGGCGTAATCCTCGGGTACATCATCAATTATACTGACCTCGCTTTAAATACACTAATGACAACAACGATCCACAACTGGGGCCTGCTACAAATCACGTTGACATCGTTGGAGAAGTTTCGTCGCTACCGTATAGATGTTGCAGGCTATACAAGAAATGGCGTAGGTCCTTACATTTCAACGATAGGGATAACTGATGAAAATAGTAAGTATCAAAAAACGTTTATAATCAGAATATTGAGCATTGCAGATTTCTGGATAGATAAAACTCAGTGTTTTGAATGGTCTTGCTGACTTTGAAAAGCTGTAACTCCTAACATGAACCCGCCTTACCAGTTTATAGGATGATTGTCATGAAATGTACAGCTCAGATTTCTACAGAATGCATTTCATGAAAAAATAGCAAATGTGAAGGTGGAGGGGGCTGCTGAAGTACGATTGACTGCAAACTTTTTTCTAAAGACCTAAACATTGCCACAAAAGATTTCCCCTAGTTTGATTTTAACAGAGAGCATTTCAATGAAAAGACTGTGTCGCTCTTTCTTCAAATGACTTTTATTTCTAGACTGAGCTAAATTTGCTGTTCTTTTATAAGGAAAGCACTCATTTTTATAAGAAAAAAGGTCGTACTCCAGAGTACTCCAGTTTCTTATCTCGGTATTTATGTTGTTTTGATATTTTCGTAAAATTTCTATCAATATTCACTTCCTTTCTAATATTGTTATTTGATCAGAGAATTATGCTTTCATTCTCTGTGTCTAACTTGGTATGCAAAGCAGCCAGATGGACTTTCACAAAATTTCTGACGTTCTTGCCTTTTTAAAATTCAATTGTTTCTTATAGCGTGCTACTCATAAAAATTGAATGTACTGGGTAAAAGATGCACCTGAATTTTGCAATCTCTTTGCAGCACCATCTGTGTTTCCAAGTGACCTGAGAGGGATTAACATTTCAGCAACAGCAATCTTTCTACAGTGGAACAACAGCATGCCAATTTTACCTAGAAACGGAATAATCACTGGCTACAGGGTGACGTATGTAGCAGTTTTAAATCCAACAGACAATGGTGTGGTTGAGTTCCATGGAGCTGCCTTGCAATCAGGAAACGTCACGGATTTACACTATTGGACTCACTACAACTTCTCCATAGCAGCCGGTACGCGCATTGGCTTTGGGGTTGATAGTCTACCAATTACTATACGCACTAACGAACATGGTAAGTGGCAATTAGCTATATTTTCTTGTACGAGATACGGGAGTTTGCCTTACTTGAATTTTCTACTATTAATTCTAATCCCCCTCCTTTTTCCTCTTAATTATTTTAGGCAGGGGAATAGATAATTTGCTTGTTGATTGCAAAACACGTGATCAATCAAGACTTGGGTCTGCAGATGATTGATTGTCACATTTTAGCTATGAATTCAATCTTCAACTTTTTTTATATAAAGAGTCAGGCTTATGCCATAAACATTCATTATGGCAAATAGAATTATAGAGTGCAATATTTGAAACTCCTAAATCGTCAATCTTTTTTAAGAGTAAGATGTTAATACTTATGTTGTTTTTTCCATTAGTTTAGAATATTATAACTGTTGTCAATCAACAGTTTTTTTGTACCAGTATTGATAAGTTTCAGGTTGTCTTATTTTGGCGTTCTGGCTATCTCCCATACCAGATTTAACAGTTTTTGCTTTAAGTATAGTCATTTTAACTCCATTTCGATTTTTACAGTCCCCACCAAACCTCCAATTATACTGACTGCTTTCAACACAAGCTCATACACAGTAAACATATCATGGCAACCAATCGAGAACCAGTTCCAACACGGGATCATCCTGGGATACAATGTGACGTATACGTCCATGTTTGATGGCAGTGATGCCTACCGGCTTGTTCCTGGGCAAAACAATCTCAATGTGGAAATCACCAATCTTCGCAATTTTACTGAATACAATTTCACCGTATCTGGGTACAACATAAAGGGCACAGGACCATGTAACTGGGTTGTTGTAAAAACTGAAGAAACTGGTAAGTCATCAGAAATGTCATCAAAATGCGTTCCTTCTTGGCATATGTAACGGTATTTTAAAGGCAATCTGTCTCGGTGTGGATTGGTTAACGAGAACAATAGCTGGAACAATAGCCTAAACACGATTCCAGTGCTCCGCCATATTTTTTACAATGCGATAAATTAAAGGGGGAATGGAAACAATAAAAAATCCCTTTGTTCTTATAATCAATCAACGTCGTAACATATTGCCTTTAAAATAATAGAGAAGACTTTATCAAGCAAAGACCGAAGCAAGGTCTGATAACTTTAATGTTGATTCAACCACAATCGAGGCTATTGAAACAAGTATATCAGTCAAATCTTCATTTGCCAAGAGATCTCACCACTTCTATTTTCTCCCAACAATATTTGCCAATCAGCACTCTGGATTCTATCAACCAACTCACAACTCGCTTCACATCTAGAATGAGGCCTATATTGACCGCTTCTGTGTGTAATTACCACATTAACTTTTTAAACGTTGCTCACCTCTAGAAAGCAAATTTCTACCTGGTACTTTGTCTAGTTCACTCTCATACATTGATATTTAACCTACCATAAATTTACTTGGCAATCTTCAGGGAAAGCGAGAAACTCAGGGTGTGAGGTTGGCTCAATGGTTTGGATCGCTGACTACAGACCCAAGGGTCCGTGCCGTGGTTCGAGTCCCTGCATGCTCAAACTTTGTTTCAGAGTGAGGAGGGTCGCCAGCTCTCTCTCTAATTCCAGGCGTAGGAATCACGAGGTGTGGTCACATCGAGAGGAAGGACCAGGATACTGCTCGATAAGCATAGCTTTTCAGTGTCCTGAAGCTACCTTGGGAAGCTAGGTAGCAAACAATAGAATAGCTACAAAACTGCCCTCATATAATCACTACGTCAACTAACTGATAACATCTTTTTTAGGGGATCTACTCAATTCAAATTTTTCGACAATATGCTATAAACATACCTTAAAACCAAGATTGGATACTACAATTTTAGCCAGAGTGCCTAACACAAGCTCAGACCAGCAATATTAACGCCATTTTACAAATCCAAGTCACTTTCGGGCTTAATAAATTTCTAAACGATCTCTTTCCTGACAAAAGCAATAATTCAGTTTAATGGAAAAAACATTGCAAAAGCAGGTAGAAGAAACGCACATACTAGCACGGTATAAGACTGAATTCTAATGAATTTGAAAGTGTTAGGAAAATCTTAAGCTTCGCTCGTACCTGCCAAGAAGTAAGTACCTCATGAAAAACGAAAAGCTTACTCATGCCCTCTGCAACTTTTTTATGTTTAAAATTTTTCCCTTCTTTTTCAAAACAACCATAATTTTTTGCTGGATTTTCAATACAAATTTTATTCTAATTTTCTCTCACTCACTTACACAGAACCGATTCAGCCACCAGCTTCTCTTTTAACTTACAACACAAGCTCTTCAAGCCTGTGGATAGAATGGTCAAAAGTTCCTTTTGAATCAAGGCGAGGGCTCATTTTGGGATACATGGTCGTATATAGTGATATTGTGTATAACATAACGAGGAACCTAACGCTGAATGGAGAAAATGTGCTGAGCCACAACCTGATTGGACTGGAACAGTTCAGAAAGTACCGGATAAGCATCGCAGGATTTACTAAAATTGGAATTGGACCATATATATCAACTGTTGGAATAACAGATCAAGACAGTGAGTTTTGTCCCTTTGAGATCAGTCATATTTCATTTCTTATATCTGGAATAGTCATTGTTGATCTGCCTATAAATAAACTACCTAGCAAAATCATTGCTAAAAAGCTAGAAATTTACTACACGATGAGAGAGAAATTTACTACAATAGTCCCTAGAATAGCAACATCTTGAAATGGCTACTTGGCAAGCGTTTGCATCTACCGAAGAGCATTTCATTCTTACATATAGCGTACGAAATTTCGATAAAAACAAAAGGATTTCAAGGGATTTTCAGATAAAACAAAAATTTTTACACCAAAGGTGTAGGAGATTTTTATGGAGTGATTTGCTCTCGGCATCTACCAACGAGCCACTACCAACTTTACGCCTAATTTGTCTATTTTTCTTTTTTTCAATTCTGTCTATTTTGTCTCTTTTGTCTCTTTTATCTGTTGCTCTTGATTTTTTCCTCCTTGTCAAATTTTAAAACAGATGAATCCCGTATGACTGTTGAATTGTTGTAAATGCAAATTGATTAGAAGGAATTCCCAGTCTATTGATGCATTTTTCAATAAAACTTTTTTTCTCTACAGTTCCAAATGCCGCTCCGATCGAAATATCCGGAGCGTTCCTTTCCTCAAGCGAAATAAAGATTTTATGGTCACAGCCTCCGGCGGCAGAGTTAAATGGCAAATTGATGTCTGTTAATGTATTCTACAAAATTGATGTTCGAGTAGCGCCAACCCGAGCGGTAGATGGTAGGAAATACCTGGAGATGTTGCTGGCAAAAAATAGCTCTGAGGCTTCAAGGCGAAAGAGGTCTGTAGGGGAAGAGAATGGCGGGATTCAGCCTGAGCTTAAAATCTGCGAGAGCCATTTAAATTTACCCTGCTTAAGGCTACCAATTTCCCATCAAGCTAATAAGCTGCAGGTTTTGCAGTCTCATAGAGCCCGAAGGTCTAGCTCAAGTCTGACTGGATTTGATACAATTACCGTGAATGCAAATGAAACCAGCTTGCAGCTCAACTCTCTCGACCCGTACATTAATTATACAATAATGCTGCAAGCAACAACTATTAAGGGCTCGGGGCCACTGAGCAATCCAATTCTGGTTCAAACTGGCGAAACAGGTGAGATTTTTTTCTAAGCATTTGGTAATCGGTAAAGAACATTAATATTAGCACTTTGTCGTCATACGTCTTTTATGTCCTCTTTAATTTGATAGGCACATGATTCTCCTTTAGTTTGCCTTTTCGCTGTTAGTGTTACCTTTCGTAGCCTTGAACGTGCGATTTTCCGAAAAAGTTTCTTGCTATAGTCAGGAGTTGAAGCCTCCTTGTCAAAAACTTTTTTTCGGGGACTGTTATCCACTTCTGGCAGGAATTGTTTTACACTTTCGAGGGGAACTGCTACCTGTTTCTGAAGGAGAATATTTTCCCCTACAGCTGTTTGGATATATTAACTGGCTTTTTATAATGCTGTTTCAGTTATTTTCAAAGGAAAGCGCGGTTTATTTTGATTCTGCAGTTATGCATTTATCAATAGCTGTCTGCTTTTAGCCTTTCTCATTGACATTAGACAATTTTCTTGTAACCAATAAACTGCGTAAAATCAAATTGCACAAAACCAACGAATCAAATATTTTTATTTTATAACTGCACAGCATATGCATTTAGACCTTTTTTCATTTAAATACTTATTTTGCTAAATATTGCAGAACAAAGAATAAATCGCTTCTGCTTATCAAAATATACACTCCTTTTATCTAGGAATTAGAAATCTAGCAAAAATTGTGATTTCAATGGTTGAAAATCTTTCTAAACAAGATGTCTATCTTTAGTTCCCAGCTCGCCACCAACAGATGTTTCGGCAAAGTTCACGTCTTCAAGGAGCATTCTCACAAAATGGCAACCTGTGCCTTACGCAGATGCGAACGGGATCGTTTACGCCTACATCGTTTCAATACAGCGCGCGAACAGCTCTGACCCGTGGCAAAGTCACATCCAATACGAGCCACACTTGCAGTACAATATTACTGGCTTGATGAGATTTGTCTTGTATGAAATTAGAGTAGCGGCTGTTACCAGCAAGGGTATTGGCCCATTCAGTGCAGGAGTTTTTGAGAAAACAGATGAAGACAGTAAGTCATGTTCAATCACAATTATCTTCATCATCATTATCATGATCACCATAATCATGGTCATAACCATAATTAACGATCATAAGCATCATCGTAATCATAACTATCAATATCATTATTTTCTTTGCATTATCATCATTATTATCGCCAACATCGCAATCATCATGATGAAATAATTATTTCAACTTCAATTGTTTTAACAAAAGCCTAACATCATATTTGCCTTCTTAAAAACAATGATGCAAAGAAGTTAGGTTTTTAAATCGATTTTTAATTATCACCGTAGTTCCAAGTGCCTCTCCTGCCCATATTACTGGAGAATCATTGTCATCTACTAAGCTTCGCATCAAATGGGGAAGTGTCCCTGAGAATGGCGAACCCTCGTGTTGCTTACATGGCATCTTAACGGGCTACCGTGTATCTTATGGTAAACGGTATCCTGTCCCAGGTATATCTTTTGAATTTTAAGGGACTGTTTTATCGGGGCTGGGGAGTACGACCCCCCTCCACATATTTTTTGTGTTCTTCGGTAAATTATGCTTTAACTCGGTTTGCAGCATTTTTTATATTTTGTAATTTTGAAATGAATTTTAAAGGAAGGAAGCTAAAAACTGAATTTTATAATGGGCGTTTTCATCATTTTCCATTTATCTGAAATGTGTCGCACAACAGTCTAGCCATTATAAAACATCCCTTCAAAATGCCGATTAAATCCATCCCTGCCTTTCTAGCTCTTTATCTTAACTTGGTAATATGACTCGATCCAGTCTTCAATTTAACTTTATGATTAAGTAAATGACAAAATGGGTCAAACCTGCAAAACATGTTTGCACATCCCGCTATGGTAGTCCTTTGATCATGATGTGGATCGTTCCGATGTGGCAACGTTGGAACTTTCTGTTGCAAAAAGGCTAGCTATTTTAATGCAAAGCATACACTAGCAGTTAGTAAGAGTTTCGATAATGAGTGGACGCAGTACATTATGCTTGAAATATGCTCAGGAACATGCTAGTTCTTCTTCAACAATGGAAAAAAATCTTCCACAGATAAAAAGCTAATTGATTAATTACTGTTATGAACATGTTTCATGTCTTACTTCTCTTTGTAGGTGACAGCTTTTCTACAGTAATCACCCCGCCAAACCAGCAGTCTGTTGATATTACGGACCTCGTAACGTACACACCTTATACTATTGACGTTGCTCCCATGACAATAAAGGGCTTAGGCCCTGATAAAAGGATTCATATGTGGACCAGTGAAAGTAGTAAGTGTTTTGATTTTCAGATTTCTATGTTTGGATCTAAAAAGCCATTTTTTGTAAGAAATAAACTGTTAGAATGTTAAGTCTTAGGCTATACTGGATAATATAGCACAGAAGTTAATTATCTTCTATACTTCAATTGTCAGATGTCAGACGTCAAATGTCTGACAGTTGCTTACGGCTGGTACTTTAATGCTGAAACCCGAGAGTCTAAGTTCACAGTTATATTGGTTTTTATAAGCAAACCAAACCAAGTAAGAATCTTTACTTGCTCATCAGTTCCTGTCTGAACATGTCAAGTAAACAAAGGTGAATATTTTTCAAGGCAAAGAAAACCATCAGAAGCCCGTCTAAGTTGGTAAAACATGTCTAAAATATATATGTATATAGGCTAGAATAATGGCATTTACGATGACGATGATTGCAAATAAACTCTTCATATTCTAATAAGTGAGCGTCTTTGCTAGGTAACCAAAAACCAGGCAAGATTTTCGCTTCATGTAAGGTATCCTTCACGGTTAATAATACCTCTTTGCTAATTAAATGCTGATTGCACTTTAAAAGCATCAAAGATAGAAATTATAACTAACTGCAGTGTATAAGCAAAACTGCAGGGGTCTTTAGTTTTTCCACCAGCTTTTTCTTCAAGATTCTTTTAATTTGTGCTTTCGATTTGTCATCTGGGAGCTACATAAGCTAACACCAATGCTTGCTCTAATACACAGTTTTGCGATAAATTGTTGTTTGTTTTTCAGGACCAATAATAGAGCCACAAAATGTCTCCTTGACCAACCACACGTCCACATCATTGCTTGTTGAGTGGAACGAGCTTCCATTCTTAAAAAGAAAGGGCGAGATTCGAGGCTATGCTGTATATTATAGAGTAAAGAAGTCAAGTCTTCCCTTGTCCATTAAATGGGTAGACATGTACCATTTTACTGCGAACTACACAGTTGTCTATCGACCTCCAATTCAGGTCGAGGTTGATGATGTCATTAGGCGACTTTGGTATGAGCTGACTGGGTTGTATAAGTTTATGGAGTATACTGTTCATCTCACTGCGTACACCAAGGTGGGCACTGGTCCTTGGACGTTTGCCAAGTTTGCTATGACTGATGAAGATGGTAGGTTGGCTTGTAATTAATCCTCTGTTCAATATTGCTTTAAGACTTGTATATGTTTCACGTCCTTTGATGAACTTACGCTATTAAAACCAAAGCTCAATAATAATATAAATTGCTTGTTGTTTATGCCCTGATATTTGTTTATAAACAATTCTAGATAACTCCTCTTCAGGTCCATGACACAGGCTACAACTATGCACGCTCCAATGTCCAGATACAAAACGGTTTTAGCAACAATCAGCCAGAGTTGCAAAAAGTCTTTGACCTTCCTCCAAATCTGCAATTTAGGGGCTCAACGGTTCTCATTATAACCGATTGTAAAATTACTGAAAAATAGCCAAGAAGTGTTTTGGTTGTTTTTCTTAACATTCCTTTCAAGAATAAATTTTCCTAACACATCAATATCTTTGCATTAGTATTTGACCTTTCTAGTCTGATTTATTAATTTCGATTATTTTTGTAGTATGACTTACCATTATCATCAATTTGGCATTAGTTTTTATGGTTCTAACGTATTTTTGGTGATTTATTTTCAAAAATTGAAAGAGCAATAACAAGAATATAAAATTTTCCTTCCAAATTATTTACCAAAACCTTCCTCAGAACCATGTTCAAAGATCATTTTTTCATTTCTTCATTTTTCATTTTAAATTACTTGTAAACGAATAACCCTTTAGCTAGTTCTAATATATCAATAAATAAACTGCTAATAATTTAGGTACAAGTTCTATTAATAGTTTACATACAGCTTATAAATAAAATATCAGAAGCTGGGTCTCTGCTGATCTTCCCAGGGGGTCGTGTTTTAGTTAGCTTTCAGGTCATCAAACGTTTTTAATTGTTTTTTTGAGTTGGCATATGGTAGGAAGCTCCCTGATAGTTATGGGGATTTCATTCCAGACCTTAAGGGCTGAATAGGAACATCCTTTTTGGCATACTCCAGATAATACTTCGGAACTGAAGATCTCTGCAGAATCGCATGCTATAAATAGAGTACTGGGATCTTTGTTCAAATTTGTTTCAGAAATTTTCTGGGTTGATTCTGTTCATGATCTTATTAGCCATTACTGCACGATCGAAAATAATAAGTTGCTCGGCATTAAGAAAATTATTTGACAATTCGTCTTTTATGGTGGACCTATGTATCGTGGAAATGACTCTGTACTGAAAACGTTGAAGGGATTCTTTTCTTGTATTAGAGATTTCCACACCAAATAACATTTGCATATTGCATGTGCGATACACATTGCTTAGCTGAGATTATGGGGGGATATTTTTCAATTTTTTTGAAGATGTAAGCCCTCTGTGAACTTTCCCTCGTTCTATCTTGAATTGTTCTTCCCAGTTAAGCCCTTCGTCTACAATGATTTTATATCGCTCGCTCGTTTTATATCTGAACCATTCAATCTCAGTTTTTCGTGTATCTCGACTTTATTATTTCTACTAGGGTGCACACCTATCATATATTCTGTTTTTTGTGGATTGGCACTTAGTTTTATTTAACCGCGTCAGGGGCGGATCTAGAAATTATTCTGAGGGGTGCTAAAACGTAAAGCTTGGTAACCAAGGGTGTTGCTATGCACAAACTCCGTACCCCCTGCTAATAAGCCATAATGAAATGAAAGTCTTCCATAAACTAAAAAGCCTGGATGCCGCGATTGATATAGTAATTTTTTGCTACACTTTGATCAGAACTTGGAACTTTGGCTTCAGCTTTTATGCCAAACGCAATTTGCAGCTCTCCCCCTCATATTCACTTAGGGTACAAAAGTATAGAAACTGTAGTCAAATATGATATCATTGCCCGCAGTGGCAAAAGGCCCGAGCCCACAAATTTCCAAAGCAAAGTTTAATTTTTGACTCTTTGCAGCCATTTATTAGAACTTAATCATGGCTGGTGGAATGAAGCCCTTGAACATGAAGTGCAGTGCACGTCATTAGAGACAATAGAACAATAGAAAAAAGTCGGACAAAAGTTGAACACAGGGATTCAAACACAGCATGCATGGCATGCATCGACATATGATACCAAACCAAACAAATGAGGCCCTGAACGTTTCGCTAACAAATGGGCCTGCCGTTTTGAGTATTTTTATGAATTTGAAATCTTTAGAGAAAAAAGTATTCGTAGGAATATAAGCAGGAATAAGAAGAAAACCCCTTTTGGTCAAGAATAGTAAGGGCAAGGTTTTGAGATGTTTTGTATGTAGTTCTTGAATGATTAACAAAAGAATAACAAGGGCTCGGGCAAGCTTTATCCTCTGAATATAAATCATACCTCATGGTCTATGAATAAGACGTGAAACACGGAGTTGAAACTTGAAACCGTTCTGTTATATAAACCAAAGCGTTTACAAGTTCTGCCGTTACAGCATCGAGCACCAGGTAAAGATCGTCAAAAGACCTACGAAAACATATTGCAAATTTGCACTTCACCTAAGCATTCGTCGCGTGCTGTATCATAATTCAACTCCCCCTGGTCAACCTCAACTCCCCCTGTTCAAGCTTAACTCCCCCTGGTCATAAAACCACTATACATTTGACTGTAGATTGAAGCGAAGAAACTCCCTCTGGTTTGGTCGGTATTCTTTGATGTTTTGGATTTTGAAATCCATGGGTTCTCGCGCCAAAGTTTAGAACCCCTCGACCTGGCACCGTGATTGGCTAGATTCACTTCCACGGGTGCAGAAAATCGTATAATTTACAGGCCACGGGTTCCTCAAGTGGCTGGTTATAAGAGGAGACAATGCTTTCCGAGTCTGTAGAATGCTATACAGTACAACCAGGGGGAGTTTGATAACACTTCAATGCATGGACTGAAATAACAATGTTGAACAGTTGTGAGACGGGACATTGAAGCGGATATAACAATTTCAGGAGATGTGCATACTTCTCGGTAAAAGAGATAATAAATGGTTTAAATAATTATAAACAAAATTGCGATAGAATAAGCTTTAATCCCCAAAAAGTTTTTCCTCAAATCTGAGGGGTGCTCGAGCCCCTTTCGCACCCCTCTGGATCCGCCCCTGCGCGTCCATCCAGAAATATGTGTCAACTCCTCTTGAGCCTTATGAATTAGCTCTTCGACTCTCGTCGATATTAAGGTTACGTGAGTTTCATCAGCATATATACCGGCCATTAGAAATTTTCAAACATTTTTCATTGAAATACATTATGAAGAGGAAGGGGCCAAGACAGGAATCTTGCGGATTACCTCATTGGCCTCGATTCGCAACCAAGCTGTACATTACTGCTTTCTTTTTACAAGATATGATTTAAACCAGTGACCGGAAAGTTCTCGAATACCATATCTCGGAGACTGTATCTCGAATACCGTATATCGGTTTGCAGGATTTTTGCGTCACTGCAGTCAACCGGAAGATGAACCATCGGTTCGTTTGAAATACTAATCTTAGACATAACTCTTAGTCGATAGTCAGTCCACGTTGAATCGAAAAATGTTTTTTTAACCAGTACAGCTATTTTTTGTAGCAGCAAAGATAATCACATGTTCGTCAAATTATAACCCTAAGCTCCATTACATCTTTAAATGTTGCACAGCCGTCTTTGCTAAAAGCGTTGTTAAGGAAAATTACCGGAGGCAGGGTGCCACTAGATATTGTTTCCTAAAAGGAATATTCCTTTCCAGGTCCCATTTGCCAACAGAGTAGGTGAACCATCTTTTTTTTCTCAAGGAAGTGTCACACTCCTCATGCCCCTTTACTGGAAGTTCTTCTACGACGCGGCCCTTCTTCTGTCATATTATTTTGTTCAATCGTTCACCTAGCCTGCGCGCAGACCCAATACGCTTATACGAGATCCAGTACGCAAATAATACATATTAATCACCTATGCTGGAGCTTCGTTAAGTTTTCAGTATAATCTTGTTACCTGCTCTATTATATTGGCGTCTAACGCTTAGCCAGTTTTATTCTTGATGTGATTTCCTCATAATAGGAAGGATTCGAGGATAGCCCTGTCGCGTTGCCACGTGTATAGACTATTCTATATATTTGCTTGTAAAACCACCGAGTAATTTGAGGAAACAACTTCTCGATTAAACTTTAAAATCTTCAACTCAGATGAATGCATTAAAAAAGCATTAGAAGGTTTATTTTTTTGAAATCGAATATTTTTTTTACTAAGTTCTGTGTTTAATCCTGGTATATTTTAGAGGCTTTTTGGTCAAATTAGATCTGGTTGGTATAAGCAGGTCAAGATTCGTTGTCCTTTTTGTATCACTTGGTCAGGAATTGATTCCTGATTCCATTTTGCCCCGTTCTTTTAAATAGAACTATTTCAAAATAAGCGTCCTTCAAATTCCGCCTTTCCAGTAATTGTGATATACGTCTGATATATGTCTGTCATTATATTAGGATCACATTTTTGTTTCGATTTCTGTGCCCTGATACCTGTAAAACATCTTCTCGCATAATTACGTTCGTATAGATAGAACATAATGCTTTTATTCTACCAGATGTATTAAGGGCTTTTTGTGTTTTTAAAGTGATAACCACAATGTTCTTCTCAGTACCAACTGTGGAAACATTGTAATTGTGAAAATGTTGTTTGCGTTTGGTCGAAAAGGTCAAATTAGTAGTCATCATTCATTAGCTTCACAGTGACAGAGTTTTCTGATTGTATTTTTTGCAATCTCAGATTTGCAGTTAAAAATCGTTCTCTCTTATAAATCCAGTTTTTGCAGCACAATTTACATTATATTAAATAATGGAATTCATATCAAAACCTGTCTTTATGTTGCTACTCTAATTTTATATGTATTAAATACACCATTCGTTAGCCTTGCATTGTATACTCTCTTGGCTGTCTCTCAAGCCATAATTTATGTTTCAGTGCCAAGTAGAGCAGCCCAGAACGTCACAGTGCATGCACTGAACTCAACGTCAATCGTAGTCGAGTGGGATCCAGTTCCAGCCATATATGACCCACGTATTGAAGATCCTGTTTGCTGCGTCAATGGTATTCTTACCGGCTACACAATATTTTATACAAGAGAAAGAAAGAGCTACATTCACAACATAAGCATTGATCTGACGTACTTTGAAAGAATGGAAAGTTTGCTGTCACCGAACATAACGAATAATGCCACAAATGCAACTCAAGCGTATAGAATGAGTTACGTTCTCACCGGTTTAGATTCGTACAAGAATTACACAGTTTACGTTGCTGGAAATACAAGGAAAGGTCATGGAGTGCTAGGCCGTCCGGTTCATGTTGTCACTCAACAAGACCGTAAGCTTCATTTTATTTTAAACTGTTTTCTATGAACGTAAGCTTTTTGGTTGATAAATATAAGAGCAGTTTGTCATTTGCATTTAAGTTCATTCAGTAAAGTTTCTAGACATTTAAAGCTACTAACGCTTACGGAGACAAATGAGGAGCGGAACTTTGGTCCGGAAAGCTATGATAATTTTAGAACGCTGTTATTCTCAAACCTACAAAATTTTAGCAGTGAACCTTTTTATTCTTCAAATATAGTTTCAAGTAGAGAAACAAATCGTAAAACTAATAGCACTTGTCTTGTTAGTCTTGCAATTTGATTTGTTCCTATTTCTGCTGCATTGTTTGGGAAATGACGAACCACCAACTCTGTTTGATATATTGCCAAGAATCTGCATAACTTTCTTTTTATTGATTGGTTGGTTGATTGATTCGTTGATTCGTTGATTCGTCGAGTCATTGATTCATTGATTTATTGGTTGTATTGACTTTAAATTTTTTATACAAGGGAAAATTTACATTGTTAACTGGTTTACAAACTGTGCCGTAAAGCTATTTACAGAAATGACTTTTCGTGTAACTAAATAAAAATACCATTTCACATACATCAATCAAAGCGACGGATACAATGCCTTTTTGTCCTCAAGATGTTGTTAACATGGGAAAGTGTAAACCTTTTAAAAAACGTTACACCTGATTTTGAGTATGAGACAGCCTACCAAGTATGCCCATTTGCAGACTATAACGATGGACCTTCGCTGCTTCTGATGCAATAGCTGTTTATTTATCTGTACTTAACTTGATGGCTCATTCATCAGTAACCTTAGTTGCAAATGAATTTCTTTATTTCAAAATTTTTCTGTCTAAAATGTTTAGTTTTCTGTCTAAAATCCAAAGTGTTAGAATCTAACGAATCTTTTCATCGTTCTAGTTCCAGCACGAGGGCCATTACGTGTACAAGCATGGAACACAAGCTCAACAAGTGTCCGTGTTGAATGGGAAGAACTAGATTGGGAATATCGAAATGGCCTAATTCTTTACTTCATGATTTATTACAGGTTTGTAATTGAGAGATTCGATATTTGCAGCTATCAGGCTAGAATCGATGTTAGATTGAAGCCCCTTTGGAACAGTTTGACGTTGAAGCATGTGACTTGTTTGAGTGAAGAGGGAATAGATACAAAGCTCATTTTCTAGGTAGGAAACACTGAATATGTGAATATAGAAATCATAATGAAAACAATAGAGAAAAGGTAGTGAGAGCATATAGTGTTATGGAAAGAAATAATGAAGAAAGAAAGCATAGCCTGGCCAGTAAAGGTTACAAATTAAGAGGACGGCAGAAGATATAGTTTAATAAACATGTATGAATGACATGTATGAAAAGTGGATAGAAATTGTTTAAGATTGAAATAAAGTGAGAAGAATAATAAGAAGTGAAATGATATAGGATGTCGTGATATTTTATGAACCGACCGACAAATACTAAAGACAAATTCACAAGTTTACGAAATGGTAGATAAAAGTTCTGATTTTAATCAATAATCAGTTGTTTCCATTTCAAAATAGTTGATATTTTAGAATAACACTGACAGTCTTCCCTCTTATTCTCGGGCTTGATTATTTCATGCATACGTTATATATATTTATATATAAGCTAGCATTGGCTATTTTTTTTAGTTTTTATTAGCTGTCTATAAATCATGTCGCAATCTATCCAAATCTTATGCTATAGTTTCTGTTTGCACTCTTTATCTGAACATACTTTCACAGTTTATCTCATTAGTTACAGATTCGTAGACTTGACTTGCTTTATAAAAGTTTCTTCATTGCTCATTTTTAATCTTGTATTTTGATATTTACTTAATATTAAATCTAGAAGGGAATGAAACAACCCGCTATCTTAGCAGTAATTTTAATGAACGTTTAACTGATTACGTAATATTAATTCCTCAAACTAGAGAGACATACAAACCCTTTCAAGAAGAGTCAGCTTTCAGTGTTTCCAGCAAATACAATTATACAGAGATAAAGAATCTACGGAAGTGGACATTTTATGATATTCGTATTTACGGTGGAACGTATGTTGGCCGAGGATTAAACAGCACGAATATAACAGTAAGGACAGACACTGATGGTAAGAAAATGCAAACATATTTACTGAAATATTTGAGAAAAATTTTATAGATTGCTCTTATGAATTTTTATGTTCTGATCTTGACATTTAGTACTGGAAGTTTTACGATGATTTGTCTATAAAATGTTTAAAAACGAAAATGGTTTTATTTTTGAAATTTTTCAGCAAGGATCTGCAGTTATTTGCAGTTATCTATAATATAAAAACATTTTACTTTATATTATGACACATAATTAATATTATAACTGATTGATAGAAAACAAAAGAACCAATCAAAGATGTCTTCCATTCATGCTGTTTTCGATCCACACCTGGGTGTGAATTTTCTGCTAACTTTCGGTCATTTTTCGATGTTTATACTCTGAAGAGAGTCCGACGAAAAGTGCCTCAGTATGGAATGTTTCTGCTATTTCGTACCATCTTAAAACTTCAAGATTATGTTCAAGAAAACGTTCTATGTAATTCCACACTATGTTTTACTTTTCTTGTATGCTATACGTTCTATCATCTCAAGGGTCATAATGTTAGCAATTTAGCTATGACATATCACCTTTTTGTACATACCTTTTGTAGTTCCAACCCTGCCACCGCAAGACTTGATAGCGTTTGACAACACTGGCCCATTCTCGCTGCTTCTTACATGGAAACCGATTCCACTTGAGCACTGCCATGGAGACATAGTCACATACAAAATTTTGTTCCGTCAATACACGGAAGCAGATAAAGAAGTGGAAACAGCTAAAATGTCAGAGCTTGTGCTGCCATCCGATGTACACCAGGTTTACATTGAGAATCTCTCAACATTCTCGACTTATGAGATCGAGATTGTGGGTGCCACAAATCAAGGCTATGGCATTCACTCCAACAAGATATATGCAAGTGAGTTTAATATTTTGTATTTTTGGTTTGCTATTCTTATTATAATTACTCTTATTATTATAGCTACTCTGTCTTAGATGTTTCCAAAGAAATCAATCCACGTGACCTTTTTAATCTTGCCATACGGAAATCAATCTTGTCAGACTAACAGATTTTTTCTATATTTGTTTTTTTCTACGCTTGATATTTTTACGTTTTATTTTTTAAAAATTGACAACCTAGATATAAAATTTTGTTCCCTTTCTTACATTTGAGTTTCATTTGGTAACTGGGTTATTTTTTAACTTATTAGTTATCTTTAATATTCGATGCTGTAATGGGAAAAGAGTAATCTTTTGATATCTCCTCTGTACTATCTATTCTATGTATCTAATTTGGAATAAGAAAAATCAAGGTTGCTATGTAGAGGCTGAATTATCATAATATCTATATCCCATGCCGTTTTTACGATAGAAGTTTCTTTCATCTCTCTGTTTTAACTTTAATTCCCTTTTCATTTACAATTATAACAATAGATTTAATAGGCAAGCGGGAGTGATGGGGCAACCTTTATAGTCGAGTGCTCGCGTTTCTGATTGGCTTTTTCAATCCACAACTGGGTATATTTATTTCCTAGCATAGAGTTTTTGATCAATGCTCTGACGTTTTATATTTTGAAGACTGTCAGACGAAAGTATGTTCAGAATGTTTGCTTTTTTCAAAACCATTTTCAAATTTTTTACCCCAAAAATTTACAGCAGAATTAATTAGAATTTCTTTTTAATTGGAATGGATAGATTCAAGTTAGAAAGGGTGTAATGTCGCGATCGAGTTATTTTGCGTTAAGAATTAATTTTCACGAAACTTTGTATAATAATCCGATCTCTGATCTTTAGAACCACTTTTTTGGTATATTCTTTTTCAGAAACATGTCGTTGTGTAAAAAACCTGTACACAAACTGGTGGGCCTATCCGCCATATCTGTTTGAAGAGGGTATTGATGGGACAAAGCCGATTGCTAATTCTAGGGCAAACCCTTCTTATGTGCCAAAAGGAATTTTTGGGAAGTTAATCCGAGATATGGTTGTATGGGGATGTCAAAATTGCAATGGCCCAAGAGGACATGGTCTCTCCGTTTTGCACTTTGACGTCGACAGGACTGGCGGACGTTGCATAAAAAGTTCTTCAATACAGTGCATGGAAAATGTGAATAATGCTACAGACATTTCATTTCCAGTACTAGGCCGAGCACTGCAGACAAACTTTCTCTCGCGAGGGAAGTTTCTGCATCTCATTGATCATCCCAGTTCAGCCCTCGTTGCTTTGAAGAAAGTAACAATAATATCAAAAAGCAAAGCTATGAGTGTAGCAATGTTTTCATTGTGGCCAATGATTATACTTATACTTGCACTTGCAGCTCTGGCAGGAAATATTATTTGGTTTCTGGTAAGTTGTTCTTTTTTCCTCTTAGATGATTTTGTAGATCGAGAAGGGTATGCAAAAAACGAGAAATGAAAACCTTTTCCGTAAACCAATTATAACTTTTCCTATTTTTCAATCATTGTACTTTTTCAACCCCCTTCAGACTTTTGGGGAGTTAAGACAACATTTGTGTCCATTTTCTGAGACTTCGTTCGACTGAGACTTCAGACAGTTTTAACATTGACCGCTTGATATTTGGCTGAAAGTATACTCGGATTGTTTTGTGACTTAGGTATAGACAAAGTACTTAAAATTTGCAGTAATACCCTTTATACAATACTTAAAGCATATCAGATAACAAATTATGAATTACGAATTTGCTGCATTTTGCAGGATTCAGGTGAAAATCCTGAAGAATTTCCTCCTTCTTCTCTCTTCGTTGGAATATGGAATGGCTTGTGGTGGGCCTATATAACAATGACCACCGTGGGGTGAGTAGCTTTTGAATACCCGTTAAGCTGCTACAGGCTACGTTGCACTATATATATTTTCAAATTATCAAATGAATCCCTGTATCCCTTTCTGCGCTAAAAAAACTGGCCTAGACTGGGTCAGAGTTAGGCTGGATCAGGCAAAGCCCTTGTCTGCAAAGAGCGATTTGTGGACTTAAAGCAAGGCTCATCTCTGACTTTCTGTTTAAGCGCCTGCTTTTAAAGTTATCTGCATGCTTTTCTAACAAAGAACATGAGCAAATGGCCCTTCTGATTATTCAAAGCAATTTTGTATTGAAAAACTTAAGTTATATTTCAAGCAACTATTTTAAAAAAAAGAAAATTAGCAAGAAGCTTCAAGTTTAAAGAATAAAATCATACTGAGATTAAAGAATACAGTTGAACTGTTGTTGTTACACTTTTTATCTTCAAGAAGCATTTAAAAAGTAAAATTTATTATAAAAACTTTCCAGCTTATAACGTGTAGTTTATTTAACGTCAACTCCACCCTTTATGCATTTTCTCAAGTGAATTCAGTCGAGGCCTGGCTCAAGATTGGTCCAAACTGCTCTAAACCAAGGCTTGGCTCGCCTCAGGCTTAACTGAGTTCAGGCCTACTGCGCATGAGCAAGGCTTTGGTAACAGTTTAATTTAACCGAACCCGTGTTTGTTCGCAAAGAGTGGACAAGGCTTTGCTTTCTGCGTTGCAGAAGGATTTTATTTTCTAGGAAATCATTTTTATCTTTCTTTTCGCTAAACAATCCCTTTTTGTTTCCCAGATATGGTGACATCACACCTAGGTCGTTTATTGGAAGATTATTTGCCATATTATGGACGCTGGTTGGTTTAGTTATCTATGCCATTCTCTGCAGTGGGCTTACTTCCTCCTTGTATGTAAAAGAGCAAATGATTCATAGGAAAGTCGATATTTACAATAACAAGGTATGTATTTTGTTCGGTGTCCCCAACTTTTCATGATTTTTTACACACGAAGGGATTGTTTGCCACTTTTTTGCGACTATTTTTCCCTATATTCCACTTTTAACAACTGGATGCCAAATAAATTTAACATCCATTAGATAGATAGCAAAAGTGCCTACTGGAAGCAGTAAGAAATTGCGAGTTTTTTGCAAAAACATGAAGTACGCTTTTCGCATTGCTATCTTAAGAGAGACCCTAACTTTATGATACTTACAGAGTCTCGGTTACAAAAATTCGCAATCATGCTAGTAGTTGGTGTGTTTCTGCATTTATCGTTAAGCTTTTCTCGTGGTTTTCTGTTTATCTTGTATCCAGGAACAAAAGTTCAGCAGATCAAAGTTGAACGTAATTACACACCATCTTTTCTGGATCAAGCAAATAGATGATTTAAACAGACATTCGTTTGAAACCACCCACAATTTGTCAACACTGATACCCATCTTTATTTTTCCAAGCTTTTAAAGCTTTCGATACTCTGTCTTTTCTAAACGTATTTAGTCAGCATGATAGGTGACGTTTCGGACCACCTTGAAAATTTTACCGAATTTTAAGAGGGAATTTCATCCAACATTTGCAACGTTCAATGACAGTTTTCCATCCTGAATTTTGTAATAACCTCCCCAGATTTGATAAACAACTTTAGAGTTTCAAAATTGTAATCTAGATCCAATTATTGAAATTACATATGATTCATTAAATCACTGGGAGAAATAATAATTTCACCGAACTGCTTTTTTTTAATTTTTTCCTACTCAGAAAAGATAAGAAATTTAGCCTGTTTCGAGTTAATCGGAGATCTGTTTCTCTTCGACAGCTATGCCTTTTTAAGCAACTTCCAATCATATCCAATCATATAGATTATATTGCTAAGGGTTCCTGCAAGTAGCATTATAGAAAAACTGTGTAACTAGCATGAAGAGACGATAATGCTAAGGTAATTGTTTACTGGAGGGCTCTCCTCGCGTCGTTTTTGCAGAGACAGAAAGTTGTCTATGCCGATAAAGAAGTAAAAAGATTTTTTATCGCAATATTTAAGCTTTTTTGCCATGTAAGCATTTTAAGAACCAAAATCAAACAACTTTTTAGAAAGGAACTAGATTCTTATAAGCATCTACTTGGAATTTTTTTGCTCACCACAAACGTCTATAACGATATATAATTTAGGACTTTTTACTTATATGCAGAGCTATTGCTTTTTAGATTGCAACTGTGGCTGGGTCTTTTGAAGAAATGCTGGTTTTAAAAAAGCTTGGCAAGTCAGTGAAAAGTAAGTTTGTAACCGTGAACGGTCAATATATCTTATTTTTTGAAATTTATGGTTTTTTTATCAAGAGGATGTTTGCGAATGAAATGATGTTAAAAATCCTGTTCACCAACTAAGGATATTTTTCATTTCCAAATTGAAAGCTTTGATAAAAAGTTTGAACGGATTAATCATATCAATTTCTGTCTTTCAGGGGCATAAAATGAATGTTAATATTAGAAGAACAAATTAATTCACAAATTAAATAGGACACAGAATAAAACTAGCAACATCATTTGCTTTCTAGAATTTTAGTTAGAAAAAGCTTTAAATTCCTGTTGAACTTCAAAATTTCTGATTTTTTTTGAAAAATATCGGATAGAATATTTAATTTCCATTTCTACTGTGACCATAATCAGTGTTTGCTTTCATTATGAAAATATTGCCGTTCTATTCTAGTCATGTAGGCTTTAGAATGACCAGTTGACAGATTTTGCTTGAGAAAAGTCAAATTTATGTCTCTATTCATGCTTTGAGCAGAGTCGATCTTTTTTGATCCAAGCAATATTGCTCAACATTGACATTCAAGCTTATAAATATTTGTATCTTTGAAAATGATAAAATTGTCGTTGCGTCTTCTTCTCCTCTTAAAACACCACTAATTTATTTAACTAATATTAGTGATTGTCTCCCCAGATGGGAAAATTTGAGTTATTCAGTTTGCTCAAGATTGGATATTCACAATCAGTAATTTATGTTTATGTTTAAAGTTTAAAGATTTTATGTTTAAACTCTAAGCCAGTAGACAAATTGCTACCACATTTTTCTACAATTTTCTTATGCAAAATATCGCTTATACGAATGGTTTATTTGTTATTGGTTTATTAGGATTAATTTATCAAAAAATAATACTGTTTGTTTCATTTATGCATTTTGGTACATCGTAACAATTGCCTTTCTTCAAGCTATCAAAATCCATCATTGCCCTAAATTATAATTATTTTTTAGAAAACAACATTGAGGAAATCTTACAGATGGTGAGGCAAGATCAAATTGTAGGAGGGCTTGTTGACTCTTTTGCACTCACCATGTTTCAAAGTCATTTCAACAATAGCCCTATCTATGTCCAGAAATCCTTCAAATCTTCTTTTGCCTTTGGCATTGGCCTAACAGGAAATATTTCCAAGCTCGATAATGTTTTCACGGACTTTCTTCATTCCAATCAGAAAATGCTTGCGGAAAGCATCGTCAACTATGTTCACACTTTCAAAGCAGTGAGTTTGTATTTCTTTTGATAATAATGATGATTATTGTAATGATATTGTTAAGGTTTTTGATAATGATATTGACATGAATAATGAAAATGAGAATGATATTGATATTGATAATAATAATTACACTTAGAATTATGATTATAATTGCAATTAAAATGTCAATGATATTGATGTTAAAAGTTATTGTGATAATGATAATAAGAATGATAATGATATTGATGTAAGTGATGATAATTAAAGTTATGATTGTAATAATTATTACAATCAAAATGTTTGTGATATTGATGTTGATAATGATTATGACAATGATAGTTACAATGATAATGATATTAATGTTAGCAATGATAATGTTTATGATATTAATATTGATATTAGCCCTGATAATGATCACAATGATTGTAATGATAATGTTTGTGAAATCTTTTTAAACTACTATTTCCCTAGCTATTAGGTAATTAATTGCACCTAATAGTGACCTTATGATGAGTAGCTGTGACTTAGATAAATTATGTGTGAATAGAAAGTAGATATTATCTATTTATATCATGTTTAGTTTATTGTCAAACTATGGTCTAGCTTAGAACGTTTTAGATTCTACTGAAAAGAGTTTAAACAGGAGCAAATGAAACATGACAGGGATAAATACTTAAGTGAATGTTAAAGGAGCTGCCAATAGTCTATTTGATCGGCTTTGGTCTGTGAACACCTCTCCTCCTTACCCCTACACTTCCATGACACGACACGTTTCTGTTCTTGATTTGTCTGTCCGTGTAACAAAGGTTATATGATCTGACTTTTAATAAGAGTTTGTGTAACAAATGCTATCCAACTATACTTGACAAAGGTCTTTGCATTCTCGCGAACCAAGGCCACATAACTGCGTGCGAGCCTTTGATTTACCACTCAGACTTTAGATGGCATCTCACGTTAAGTACCGGGGTACCAGCGAGAACGTCCATTTCATTTTAAAAGCTTACTGAAATCAGGCATGCCATTTGCATTCTAACCCCGTTCTACCCTGCCTTTCCCCCCTCTTACTTCCTCTCTATACAAGCCTGACTATTCAATGCTAGACTATATACTTAAATTTCAGTGCTTTCGAGCCAGCTGAAAAAATCATTTCTCTCATGATTCTTTTCTGTTGTTTTGCAGGATGAGAGCACCGCTGTTGTTCCTGAAGAGAGTAGCGGTATGTTCCAACCGAAATCTCCAATTTTTCTTAACATGACGTATGCGATTGCAGCTTGCATCGGAGTATCCTGCATCTTTGGAAGCATTTTCACGATATGGAGGCGTCGAAAAGAAAGATATTTAAAGGAAAGAGGACAATGTTTAGGTACACCTGAAATTTTGTTGTGTTTTTACTTTAAATATCAACTTCTTTGAGATCTTTCTGTTTTCTTATTTAAAGTAGTGTATGTCTAAAAGGTTTCTATACGAGGGAATAAATGAAAATGCATTGTTTTAACTAATTTACTTTCATTTTTTTCACAACGTTTTGCCATTATGGAGCTTATAAAACAAGTTAAATAATTTTAACATTTCAACTGAACATTCTCTGGGCTAGATGCATTTTAGAAATTTTTACAAATGTAAATGTAAAGTTCATATTTATAGAAAAATAATTGTGACTGCCCTGCAAATGGTCGGTAGCAAGAAATTCTTTTTTGACAAATAGTTGTGCTTCCTTTTTTTGAATGAGTTTTTTAAACTTTTTTATTTCTTTTCCCTTTATTTTCAGAGAAACTGCGGGAAAATTGTGAAGGGTACGCCAAGTTGGAGAAGTTGTTTAATTCAATGAATGAAGTATTAGAGAACTTCGTGATGTCAGTAGTTGAAAGCTTGGCAAAAATTGATAACAATCACAACGAACAGACTAATCATTTGATGAATATTTACCGGTTTTTAGATCGATGCGAACGTTCTGCTGTTGATCCTAGCAATCAGCTGAGTCAGCACGGCATATTTATAGAAAACTGGGACACTGTTTATAAAGAACGAAAACGACTAGCAAACTCAAAGAATGGCGGCTTTATAAACAATATTTTTCAACACCGTAGAAAAGGACGTACAGATCCGGTGTAATAAAAGATGAGTTCATGCTGAAACCGGGAATATAGAGACAAGAATCTCTCGCCTGAGTTATAAACTATAAACCCAAATAAACTAGAAAATAGATCATTATTGATGTTTTTCCTTTTTTTTTTAAATTTTCAAACGTTCAAAATTTTAAATTTTTTATGTATTGGCTCAATGGCTTGAAAGGCTGAATCGTCTACTTTTCATCCTAACACAATCCTGTCAAATAATGAAACAATCAAAATGAATTTGTTCTGTTTGTTTAAACCCTTGCATGATGCTGGCCCAGCAGCTACTTATTCTAAAGTTATTCAATTTCATGAAATAATATTGCGATTGATTTACAAAGAAAACAATGAAGAGACAATAAATGTCGATGTAAAAGTCTTCATAGCCAAGAACGATTGATTTCTATGAAATAAACTATAAATTATAAATAAAACCGTTAATTGTCCTAAGAAACTTGAGATAAAACTTCGTGAATGTAAATTTGTTGTGTCTCAGGACTTGTGGTATTATGAACAAGAGTTTGACTTTTTATCTTGATTTTCATTTTTTAAAATGCTTCAAACAATCATTCACACATTTTTTACAAGCAATTTTGAGAAATAAAAGTATTTTAAAATATCAAAAAGGAAATATTCATTTTTTTCTGTTACATTCAAATGATGTCCAGGTATGTTTATTATGTTTAGGTGCAGTTTTATGGAATGAAGGAGTTTGACAATGAGACTAACCCCCCCCCCCCCCCCCTTGAAAACATTCATCCTTCCATGCACGGGGAAACAGTATGACGTAGCACCATCTACTGATTCTGATTGGAGGAAATTTGTATTGTTGGCGGGAACGATAGAGAGAGATCCGAAACGCCTTCAAACCAAATTTGCCGAAACGTACTGCAGATTTTTGATGAGTAGCCATTTTCATGAAAAATTCAAAGAGCCGATGTCATGCAGTTAGACGAAGAGGTGTGTTATATGCCAGATATCTACTTGTAAATTCTTATTAATGTATTTCTTACCATGCATATCTTTATTGACAAGTGGCCTTTCGTTGCTCTTGCTTGTCAATTCATTAGGCCAGGTTTTGGAGAGTGGAGGTAAATATTAGATTTCAATTTGCAAATTTGAACCAAAGCAGGATACCTTTGTAATTGACAAATTTGACTCAGTCCATTCCAATTTCTAAGTATATTTCACTTCCTCATTTCAGGGTGGTATCGAAAAGCTACCCCGAGATTTTCTTTTCTTAGTTATTGTAGAGTTACGACTAAAAACCTCACCCTTGAACCACTACTACATACGCTTTTCATGTGCACAAATCCTGATGTTCATTTAAAAAATGGTATCGTAAAACAACTGCTGAAATTAAATTATCTGCTGAGAAGAATATTGAGGAACTAAGAACTGGGTGAATATATGTTTGGCGCATTCTCGCCAGACCGAAAAGTTCCACGTGCAAACAAGCTAGGCACAGTCAATTATGTTGTTCAGTTAGTTTTTCTTGGCCTTACTGCACAAAACGTGTATAAGCCATAAAGCTTTATGGCAATTAAAGACACGCTGTGCATAAACACAACTTGGTTTAATATGACTATAGACCATTCGTAGAGTTCTGATAAATGTTTGTACCATACAATTAGGTTTTTCTTTGACTACAAAGACTATACTTGAGTAAAAAATATACTTTAAATGCTAATAGGTTTATTTTAGATACTTAAAATATTTTCATAAGTCTAATAATCTTGCTATTCATCACGAATTGAATTCTTAAAGTTTGCAAAAGCTTAAACAACTCAATAATTTTACTCTGTTGATTTCAGTAAAGCATTACATTGAAAACAAAGACCATTCCTTTGGACTGCATGCTTGCAAAAATGTATTCCCATTTGGATCCGAATCATTCCCATGTGTAGAAACATTATTAACAATGATCTGCGTAAATTAAAAGCATTGTCAGTTGATTGGTAGAAACATACGAACTATCTTTTGATTGGCTGAGCGGCTGCAATAAAGACAGTGGCAATGTAGCGATAGCATAGGTTCCAAATCTTTGATTGGCTGAGCGACCTAAATTCTCCATACTCCATTAATCAATCAGAATTCAAGAATATGACAACAAACGTGTCTCGCAGCTAGATTTAGGCCTATTTTGGACTTTTACCACTACCCACAAAAAATAAACGTGTAAAATGTGCTGAAAGATAACCTAAATTTTTTTTAAAAAATTGAATCTTTAATAAATTTATGAAAAAACTGCCGTTGTACTCAGTCAAAATTCTTCCTCGATCGTCAGTTACGAAGGCTTGAAACTGTCCCTTTCAAACCCTTATAGTAATTAGGGGGAGGGATAACATAAAAATTACAGTTTTTAATCTTTTAAGTTGTTTCATCCACTTAATTAACAAATATGAACTTACCTTTACAAGCCACTGTTTAAATATTTTCTTTCCGGCATTGATGCTCGTGTTACTGACGGAAAAAATCGCTAAGTTCGACTGAGAGAAATGCAGTTCGTCTTTCTCTCAAAATAACTACAATTGTACAAATTATTTTGCGCTCAGGTACTTTATATCTGCATTTTAAAGGCTTGAAGATCATGAGAAGCTCAATTCCACCGATCGTTCTCAGACACACTTGGTCTTACTATATTCTGTCAATGAAACAAACGTTGTCTCGGAAATTGGGCCTATTGTAGGGGGTCCAAGGTCGCAAAATACGTAAAAATCAGCGAAAAGTCGATTTTTACTGAAAAACGCATCTCATGTTAAGCTGCAATTGGTAGGAAAACCATTGCTAGACACGTTATCCGCTTGTAGAAATGGGATCGGGGCCGTGAATGCCCAAGCTTTTTTATAGGCCCCCGGCCAATGAAAATGACACCATAAAAATGTTTATAACAAAAGGCATAAATGTTTACAACAACGATTTTCGCAAAAATCATGATTTACTTCATCGTTTTTTTGGTTCCCAATTTTCTTAGCAACTTTGCAGCATTCTGTAGTTTTTTCTAGTGAACCTTTGGTAATGAATTCTTTGTTATAGATATGACCTATCTGTTGAGATAAAACATAAAAGAAGTGTCCCTATGACCATCTTTTGGCTATTTCACAAAATTCATTTTCAAATCAACTGTCAATCAAAACGTTATCGCCGTTCTGAGCGTGGATGGTCGAGAAATTGATATTCAAGAAAAGTTTATCATCATATCTTAAGGGGGCACCTGTATATAAGCTTTTTCGGAATTAAAAGTTGATATTTATTCATGAAACTGAACAGTATTGAGAACAATAACACAGATAAAAAGGCTAAAGTACCGGGTCGGTCATTTCCTTTGAATTTAGATCCCGTTTTAAGTGGATTTTAACTAACAATGTAAGCATCTACAAAACGGCATGTAAAGTTTCACGTCTTCAAATTCTTTTATAGCATTTGAACAGGGGCTTCCTGATTGGAAAGGGGGCAAGGGCATGGGGCACGCACCCAATCTTCGACAATTCGGCCATTTGTCAAAAATTGCGTATCTGTTCGGCAAAAGAAAATTTGTAGTTGATAGGAAAGCCAAAAGGTTTAACGGAACTTATCAGTATAAAAAGGACGATATAAACAGAAAAAGTTTTCTGAAGATAGTAAAACTCGTGGTTATTTAATTTACAGTCTTGTACTGAAAATCGCAAGCTTGCCAATTGGTATTACTAAGTGTGAGCGCACCTTTTTAAGGCTAAAGTGTGTAAAAAACAGGCTGCGATCAACAAATGGCCAAGAGAGGTTAAACAAATGTTGAGTTTGACTTGACACCTTTAGTAATGATGAAGTAATCGGTAAGTTTGCTCAGACAGCATTGCTAAGAAGTCTTCTCACGCACTAAAAATCGCCCAGTTCCTGTCTTTAGATCCCTAAGATATAAACCATCAGTCCTATTGCTATGGAGCAAATAGTACATATTTGGCTGCCACAGACTGAATTCTGGCTGAAGGAAAATATTTAGTATAGCTTCATTCTAGTATTTTCAAGCAAATTTAAATACTAAAATCATTCGTTCCTTAATTGTATTTTTTTTGAGTGTATTAATTTAGACTAATTAGTCTCAAGGGCAAAAATAAGACTCCTGAAATGTGACTTTTGATGGGAATGGAAGTCATTTTCTGAAGAAGAATTGCTGATGACTTAACTTGTCCTAAAAGTAGAGGTCAAGGTTTGCTCTTTGAGCCGTAAAGCTTGGAGGCTTTAGACTATTCAGATATCAAATATTAAATATTAAGCCTGCAGCAAACTTGAGGAGTCAATGCCCTGAACCTACTTTATGTCACAAGAGTTCGTTTCAACCCTTGGGCTTCAGTGGCAACACAAAGCAGCACCGATGGGTCAACTTTACCCATCATGCAATTGCGTTTTTGATTTGTTTATTTCGATCCACAATTTTTTTATAGCTTTTATCATTATTCCGACGTTTTATACCCGACGGATTAACAGTGCATTCTACACCGTTGATTGAAAAATATCTATTTCGACAGTTTCTGTTCAAAATGTTCGACAGTTTCTCTTTAAATTTGCTAGACATGAAATTGTGGCTGACAGTTTGTGTTCAAAATCGCTAGACATGAAATCTATTCAGGCTGACAGTTTCTTTTAAAAAACGTTAGATACGAAATTTAGGTTAACACTTTTGAAGATCACCAGCAGAATGAGCAAGAAACCAGTAAACAGGGAACAGGCTACAACAATCTCACAAACATACTAACTGGTTTTACAAACATACTAACTGGTAACAAACATACTATGCTGTACACTCGATTTGCTTGACTTGATTTGAGTTGCACCTTTTGAGAAAATCTTTTGTTGTCACGTGAACGAAGACGTCATTTCCGGTATAATTTCAGTGTTTAAATGGTCATGACTCGATCGATATTCCTCCAATAACAGTAAAACCTATATGAAATGCAAGGTCTCAAAGAGTTCTTTCGATCGATGCATACATGTTTACTATCTGCTGAATTCAGTGCTTTTGTAGCCATGTGACTATGAAAACTTCCAGGGTTTAAATGGTGATAACTTGATAGTTATTCATCAAATGACAGCAAAGCTTAGAAACAATGCAATGCATTAAAGAGCTCTTTCGATTGATATATATATATATATCTAGTTTTAGCTGATATAAGCAATTTAGTAATCACGTGATTTAACAATTCATTTTCCACAATTCACGGTAGATCGTCAGTCTGATTATGTGGACATTATGATGATTGACATTTAATTATGGTTAATTTCATGGAAGGAAATCGTCCTTTTCTTGGTTCATCTTTAATTTATAGTTGCTTCCTTTCATAATGGTCTCTTGTGACGTGCTTCTTCATGTTGTTAGTGTTATACATTCTACGAAATTTTGCTCAATGCTGTGGAGTCTTTTGTCTTCCTCGGGGTTTTTGGCTTAGAATATTTGGGTAAGGTGTGTTGTCTCTTAGTGTTTTTTCCCTTGGTTGATGGAGACGTATTCATGGGCGCGACATAGCGTGGGTCTCCCCATAATCAGGTCTCAATTTGCTTGGATAAGCCTTATTACAACAGTACTGTTCACTTTTTAAGAACCCACCCAGCCTATTCTTCCCATTTTAACGAAATTTAGCTTTTTTGGTATAACTCAAACAGTTTTAGTCTCTTTTTCTAGCATCATTAAAGCTTCTCATACATCTAGGCTTCATTTATGCTATTGTCACTTCGATACTTTCAGGTAGGACTGGTGCATCGGCTTATTGTTGGCAAAAGTACTTCTCTTGTCCATTCCCTTCGCAATATAATTTATGTTTTAGGTTTTTGTGTAACATCCCCTAGTAGCCTAGTAGCCTGTGGCAATTTAAAAGTAGCACCGATGGAGCAACCTTATCTGTCATGTACTTGCGTTTATGATTTGCCTATTTTGATCCACACCTGGATATAATTTGTTCTCTAGCTCAAATAAGCTCAAATTGATGTCAGACTATTTCTTGCAGTCATTTATTTTACAATAATTAGCCATCACTGTTTTGTGTGTTTGTTGTTGCTTATTCTCGTCGCGTTGCGGTGTTCCTTCTATACTACTATTTTATCGATTTTTCGCCGCAAGATTTCCTCCGGAGTCCGTCGAGCAGCCTGCTATCGTGGCCTCACTATTTTAAGACAGCCCTTTGGTACATTTTTTTGATCCTTATCTTAAAATGGAATTTATTTCCCAATGAAGCCCAATAGACCCTAGAACAGTAAGGCTGGTCTCTAGACAATGAAATGCGCCCATGTTAAAGTGCCAGACGGGGGGATGGAAGGGAGGTCCTGACAGGAAAACAGTGTGAAAAAACTAATAATAATAATTATAATAATAATGAATCATGACCAGTATCTTCACAGGGTGGCTCTTCGTCTGGTCGTTGAATACTACACGATGTAAAGTTAGAGATTAAAATATTTTAAATTCCATAAAATGTAAATTGGAATTAAAAGTTAGGTTCTTCTCTTTATGGATCAAACTAAAAGCCTCTTTTTTGCTTCAGTAAGAAAATATTCTTCAGATTTTGATGAGAATTCGGCTTTCATAACACTACAAACTATACTTGTTTCATAACATATGAAAAGCTTTTCTTTAGGTAGCAAAAGGCACGTTTTAAAAAAATTTCAGGGCACTTTTTCAACATTTGCAAAAATAAGTGGGGGGCATATGCCCTCAATGCTTCTTGGTTCCTACGTCTCTGTCTGGTCTCTAGATGCTTAATAGATACATTAGCAAATGAATAGATCTTTTCTGGCACAAGACTGTCTGGTAACGCCCAGTGCATTAAAGCTGCAGCTTGCATTGCATCGTCTTTTCAGAGTTTTTTGACGAGTGGTGATTGCTGTTTTTATATGGCTTCAAACAAACAATTTGCTTGAAAGATGTTACTCAGTTTTAGAGACATAGTTACATCGAAAGAGAAAACAAGATGATTTTTCGGGTTTTAAGAGAGAAAACAGTGGATATGTTTATGCCAATTGAAAGATCTCTTTGAGATATTGCAATTTATGTACGTTTTATTATCACATAACGAAAATTCATCAAGCTATCACCATTGAAACGCCCAAATTATACTAGTAATGAGGTCGATCACGTGACAACAACAGATTTGCTAAAAAAGGTCTAGATCGGAATTTTCAGGTTTAGAGCTTGGTCGTACAGGATCTGTTGAGAAAACATAAGTTAACATGTATGTTAAATAGTTCGAGTTAATATGCCTTGTCTATAGCCCGTGTTCGTATACGCAGACAAATCTGTATAATTTGGAACTAATGATCAACTTTCTTCCTCGGGTGTAAAAAAATTTCTTCATAAAATTCGAACTATTTGCCCTCCTTGAAATATCAGTCCCATTAAATTCCTTTGAAGCTTGCTTATAACTATTTGGGTTTTGCCTTTCAATCTTTACAGCTCATGGAAATCTACTTTGTATCATGGCTTATAGATAACTTTCTAAACAGAATTATATAAATAGGGAATTTTTAGATACATTTTAAATAACGTAGAAGAATCATAGAGAAAAGCTTGGTTAAATATGACAGTCGCTTAATGAGTGGACTTTATCGGGACCTTAGAGGAAAGTGTCATTTTCAGGGATCTGTCAGTTTTCTAGGCAAATTCCCATGTTCAGTCAGCTTATGTATTGCAATGTCAGCCGAATTTTGCAAAACAAGCTATTGATCCAGTTGCGGTCAGTTTAAATTGCTTTCTGCTAGGGTTCCCTAAAGGATCGACCCAGCGGACACCTGCAGTTAAAAAGGAGATATTCCTTGTCATAAAAGCATGCCTTTTTGCGAAAAGAACATTCGGTATGGAGCTGTTCTTAATTCCAGGCCTACAAGACCTTGGGTGAGAAGCAATCACTGCTGCAACGATTTGCCGAGAAACAACACAGGCTATCTTCATAAATGATTGACAAGCACTTGCCCAATTCGCAGCTTACCAGCCTTCCCCACGTCTTAAGACTCTTATTAACTATCAACGAAATTATTCATTTCAGGTTTTCGACCATTTTCCCACGAATACTTAGCGACGTTTGTATTAAACGTGATCATAAATCGAATGTTTCTCTCAATTCGTTCTTAACGGTCCGGCTGGATCCCTGCAGCCCAATCCTCTTTCTATCTTCCCTTGTTGAGGCAAAATGGTAATTCTGCAAAAATTCTTGAATGAATTGGTAAATATCAAGTGAAACGCGTAGTGACAAGTTGAAAATCTGTCTAGCGCACCTTTCCTAGGCGGTGATAAAAATCTTTGCCAAAATAGCAGAGCAAATGAAATATAATCTCTATTGTAACTTTCTATCTCCCGAAATTCCCCTAAAAGTTATCTTTAGTTTTCTTTCTTGCTTGGTCATAAAAGCATGCCATTGTAACCTTAAGCGGTAACTTATTTCCTGTTTTAATTGGATTCTTCTCAAAAGATGGAACTAATTGCTGATCACCTCCTACAGTGAAATAGCCAATGAACTTGAATAAACATCTTTCCTAATTGAGGTTTTATTCGCCATTATTATCATTTTGCATACTGAAAATGATTTTTTAACTTGATGTTTCTTTCAAAGCAAATTTCTCGATCAAAAAGAGAATATCAAAACCTCGCAAGAATGAGAAAATATTTTCGGTGCTGCTTAGCGCTTCAAACACCACGATAAAACACTCTAAATGTTGCTAAGGAACTGAAAGCAATCAAACAAATATACAGTATAGGATTGTTGGCTTTTTCATCAAATTAAGGCAAGTTGTGACGTGAGGGCATGTCGACTAACTGGATGATGCTAATCCACCGGTTAAGGATCGATATAACGTTTCTATTCGTTTTCTGGTTCGGTTTGCATTAACCCTCTACATTGTAATGAGAGTATCTTTTACAAGAACATTTTATACAAAATGTATCTTATAGGCAACTATTTATTGAATCGAAATCGTAAACTTGATTAAGCAGACACTATCTATCAACAGCCATCGTTCACAGCATTCATACATGCCTTGACACCAAAGAAATGTATGACCAAAGAAAGTGCTTCCAAAATGTCAACCCAACTTCAATCACATTAAATATGTCTTACAGAGTTCCTCTCTCCTTTGAACCTTCCTTGTTAAGTCAATTACGCTCTTTATTCAATTACAAACGACATGTTTTGCATTGTGTTTTGGTGGAATGGCTGAAATGAGATTTAGGAGACCTCGAATGGATTCCAACAGGATTAGGCATCAGTTCTCTAAAGCTGGTGTGATCAAACACAAAGATCTGGAGTCTCTTGGCTTTAAAGATGTTCTACCATCAATCTGAGTGTCATTCGTGGTTTTTCCTATCAAGCTATATCACGCCAATAATATGTTGATGAGAATTTCTGTGTTATTAATAATTCTAAAAAACCGCACCTTGCAAAAAACAGCTTTGTGTAATCAAACTTCCCCTAAAGCACGCTTTTACCAAGTCATTTGGTGCTGTTCTGTTGTGACCGAGTCAATTAATTTTGGATTCAAGTCAATTGACAAAGAAGAGAGAGGCATAATTAACTGCTTTCAAAACTTACTATGTAGTTTCAAGAATAATAAATTAATATACCTAAACCTTTCTTTAAAAAAGATGAACAAATTATCAAAGAATCTCAAGCCCATAAATTTGAACAAAAATGTGTCAAAAAATGTCTAAATTTATGCTACTTCTAAGTTCTTTGCCAATAATTGAAAAATTTATTCAAAATTGTCCAACTAGCCAAATAATACGACTGTTAGATAAAATAAGAGTAATTATCAACTTAATGACCTCAAGCAATTATGATAACGTGCAATTCGACTGATTCAATATTATCTTAAAATTTCTCATAATGAATATTCCATAAATCTCAA